CGATGTGGAGCACGAAAAGCACCTCTACATTTCTTCTTCTGCTATATAGCTAAGAGACGAGCCCCTCGTCCTCCTGGACCTCCTTCTGAGGTCATATCCTTCCTTCTAGGCACCGCGAAAGGAGCACAAAAACTAGCTAGATGGCTAGCAGAGACCCGTTTTTTTGAGGATATCTGTCCTCGCCAACCTCTCCTTAGCACCTAGCTAAGTCAGCCCTACTTTTCCCTTATATCTCTCTTTTCTCTCTTTCTTTCTCTCTTTCTTCCCTTCTTTCCTTCTTTCCTTCTTTCTTTTAAACTCTCACTGCTTGATTACTATTATGGTAGAGTTATGGGTCATGGAGCGTAGGTGGACCATTGCAGCTGGCAAATATCTAAAACCCACTCGGAAGTGGACTCCCTGTAAGACCACGGCAGCTATGGAAATGCGCCAAAGAGTCCCTTATTTGTATATAAATCTGATAGGACCTGAAGCCCGAGGCTTACCCCTCGGCGGCCTATGTCCCAGTAGGGATTGGTGGAAAGCGTGCGAGTCACGATCCACGGCCGTTAAATACACACACACACACACACACCCCTGAGTTGTATGTAACTAGAGAGACAAGCAATACACAGAGATTCAACGCATCGAATCATCTCCTTATTAATACGGACAAGCAACTGATCATTGATCACTATTACTGAACGATATCAATCCTCTGAGTCTATACGATCCATCCACCGATTTCTTTACAATAAGAGCAGAAGTGTAGATAGATGCCTTTTTATAGTCATACGACCTAGAATTTTGGCATCCTGGGATGCTGAAACCCCAATGTGTCTGTGGAGCTAGAACCAATCCAAGATGCAGCTGAAGCGCAAGTTGAGACCAGTTGATAGAGAAGCACCAATAATAACTCACTATCGGATGTACGAATGTAACCCAATTATCGATCAAGGACCCGACTGCGCCCCTTTTTGCCCCCATCACCCTTCTGTTTGATATCGCAGAGATTTCCTTTTTCTATTCGCCTCGGCAGGGAGCGCATATATTTAGATACTTAATGGTTACCTACATACAAATGTGAATATGATATGCACAACTTCCCATTGACAAATAGTATCATTGTCTCGCATTTCAAGCATCTTATGGCATAGTAGCCATCATCTGTAGGCTCATGAATAATCAATGAGGGTGGGAAATCCTCTCCAGTCCTTGCAATTAACGCAGTAAGCGAAATCACTAACTTAATTACGAACCAGTTCTAGATACAAATCATAGCATCCGCTCCTCTCGTTGTTGAGTCTCTTCGTTCCGAATTCTACCGTATCTCCATATACTGAAACCAACGTCAAGTCATGTGAAAATGCACTCAGTAAAGTTCCAACCAGTAAACCTACTAGCCGTGGTCCAAACAGTGGTTTCGCCGGGCATTCGAATGGTTTAGAACCAAAAGGTAAAAATGCTTCTTCTTGCTCCCTTGTCACTTTTTCCCAGCGTGAAGGGTCAAATTGTCCAGCTGTTAGTCCCCAGATGCTCGTCGACAGATGGCAAGCTTCAATATCCCCGGCGACCTCCTTCGGTTTAGGGGAACTTGCTTCCCTCCAGGCTCTATGTATCCGTTTCGTTGGTGGGTAAAGACGAAGTGCTTCTTTGACCAGACTGTTTGCAGATACCCGGTCCGGTAAAAAGACTCGTTTGAATTGCTCTGCCGTAGGCTTTTCAGAGTAATTCACAAGCGCTTCTTTCCAGTTGGAATGCGCTTTACCTGTTTTATACGCGACCTCAAGAAAGCATCGTAAGACGATTCGCCACATAGTTTCGAAACCAGGCAATATCAAGTTTAACGGGTTCTCGCGCGGATTCGAGATATTCTCATCTGGCAATACCTCAATGAGAGCTGTTCGTAATTGATCATTATGTTCAAATGCTATGAGGGTGTCCTTTTGTTTTGACATAATCCACGAGTCATTAATAGCCTTAGCCAGCTTAGTAAGGGCTTTGAATGGGACACCCTTGGTGGCAGCTTCTTTCTTGAGGAAGAAAAGTGCCGTTAGAACAGCGTTCAATGTCAATGACTGCACTATAGGTACGAGTTCAACTTCAAATCGAGATTCACAAGCACCTTGGACATCGCTTTTCCATCGCTCCACGGCGTCTTGAGTCGTTGAAGCAATGATATCCCAGCTGTCACTCGAGATGTTGACAAGACCCCTCGACATCTTAACGAACTCCTTAACGTATCCTTCTTCTGCACTTGTAAAAGCATTTTGAATTCCAAATGTTTGCTGTAGTGATTCGTTTTGCGAGCTTCTGGATTTGAGTGGTGTAAGGTGATTTTCTCGACCGTGGATCTTTTTTGCCGCTATGACTGAACGTATATCACTCGGTGTGGAATAAATTTCCTTTCGATTAAACGATTCTAAAGCGAGGACTCGGACATATCGACGTGCCGAGATAGTAGTAATGAAGATGAGTGTGACAAGCAAGACGATACAGAGATTGATGTTGTCTTGATACATGATGTTATAATGGCGAACAACCTTGGAAAAAGTGCACTGGCGAAATTTTGAAGACTTCGTAGATGAGATTCGAGTCAAGCAAGGAAATGATGCTGGGGAGAAAAGGAAAAAGGAAGAAATCTTGCTTCAGCCATCTGCGAGGCCTTTTGTGTGAGGCACCTTTCCCTATCTGGCTTTGACATCTGATGTTGAGATGATTTCCTAATACGGCGCCAATAGGGCTACGGATTGGTGCCCTATCTACAAGCTAGGAACGGAAGGGGACTCGCGCTCAGCCGTTACATAGTATTTGTGTTGACCCAGGGGTTAGAATTCTACGGCAGGGATTACCGGATTCAGCTCCGCTTCGGTATCACCGGGGCGCCTGTCAACAAAGGATCTGGTTCGTATGGTATTGTAGGAGATTACCGTCAAATCCTATACTGTCTTACGTGTGGAAGACTATAAATATATGAAAAGCTCGAGGCCCTTCTTAGATTCATTTCCTCACTAGTTATCTCGTGCAAGCTGCCTAATGGAATATTAGGGAGAAGGGAAAAAGAAGGCAAAACATGTCTGCGCTGTAGATAGGGATTCTTAGACGACTCTGTGCGAGCTTCCTTACCCACCGCCTGGGACTATTCCCCAATCCAGTACCGCCTAGGGCTTTGAGCCCTATCCTGAGTTATGACGGGAAAGACCGTCCTGGTGCCTGTCCGGGGATATCCCGTAGGTCCAACTATCACATTTAGCTGTATTGCTGTCAAAAAGCATGTTTGGAAATTTGACTTAAGGACGCATTTGCAATCCAATCGTCGTTCAGCACTAGAGACATTGCCGTCCTCTGTCAACTCTGAAATGGTAAACATCGACACTCGCTTGATTGATTCTGACCCTACCACTCATACGAAGATTCCACATGGGCCCAATTGATCAAACGCATCGATCAAAAGCATCTATTTGTAACTTGAAAGCATTACACGATTCGATAACTGGACACAATAAAACTGGCTTATAAGAAAGCTCAGTCAAGTTTTTGTGGCTACAATGCAATCTTTTGAGGGCGTTCGGTTGGACTGGAAAGAGACTCGAGGTTCTGGGCTCAAGATTTTGAAACCCTCTTCGGTGGGCAGGTTGCTTGGATACTGGAACTAAGAGCTGAATCACTTGACCACGCAGCCAATCCTTGATATAAAGGTTGCAAATCACTAAGGAAAGCCGGAAATATGGCCAGGATTGGATTGCCTTGTCTGTTTGAGTCACCCGCAGCTCTCCACTCGACTCCTGAAATCCTCACATCCATTGTCACTCTAATCCATACTACACACTTCTGACCTCCAGCCATAAGTCTGTTGCTTACATCCACTGGGACAGATCGTGCTTGTATAGACACTGATAAATGTTCTTTCATATAGGATCTTCTTGGAGAGACCTAAGATTGTGTACTGACTCGTACCACCGTTTTCCTTCAAAAAGATGGGGATGTCGTTTGCGTTGTGCTTCCTCTTCTGCATAGTCAAGAGGCGTCTTGCCATCCAAGTCCTTCTCATGGAGTGAATTGAAAATGTTTTTCTCTTGCAGGAAGTTCGTCAAGTCTTTGTTGAAGGCACCGTGAATTGCTCCATAATGCAGTACATTGCGGCCCTTAGCGTCTTTCGCGCTTATATCAAAATATTGCAACAAATGCTTGAGAATAAGAAAGTTATCTCTATGAAACTGTTGCATCGCTAGGTGTATCAGACTCTCCTTCCCTTTGCCCGACCAGTTCATACTGGCCCCATTCCGAACTAAACAGTCGAAGACATCTACTTGAAGACGCAGGTGAAATGACCGTAGATATAGGCTAAGAACGGAGTCGCCGTTCTCATCCTGTTCATTGGGTCCAATTCCACACTCTAAAAGTAAGTTGATGATCTCAACAGAGCAACAAAGTGATTTTACATGATGATGTAGAAGTTTTGCTTGGGACAAGCCACTCTGCTGACAGTTCCCAAGTAGCTGCTGAGGATGTTGTTCCAAAATCAATCGTACAACACTAGGGCGATTTTCCCTGATGGCACAATGAAGCGGAGTTGATCCATGTATATCTTGTGAGGTAGTGCTGCAACCCCGACTTATCAATATTCGAACGGCATCCAAGTTTCCCGCATCACATGCTAGATGAAGACATGTTTGACCTTTTTTGTTTGATTTTGATGTATCGGCCCCTTTTTCGATCAGCTTTAGTAATAAGTCTGACGCATAACATTTATCGAATGGAATCACATGCAATGGACAATCCCCCTGCTCATTGGCAATATTGACATCAATTGAGACTGTACTCAGAAGCACGTCAACGATACGTACTCTAGCTGTATGAATTTCTTCATAGATCTCAGAGGCTTCTTCACTTTCCCAGTCAGTGATGTAATTGCTTAATTCCTCAACAGAATATTCTCCAGTCGTCCAGTAATCCTCATATCCCAACCCCAGAGCCCTGCGTCGAATTGCCAAATGCAATGGTGTGTCGCCAGTCTCAGATACTGCATTAGGGTCGGCATGATGGCGACATAGAAACTCGGTCATTCCCACGCCTGCGTTCAATGCTGAAAAGTGAAGCGCGGTCATCCCTGGAGAAAAGGACTTATTTGATAGGTTTTCATGCTTCTCATCAAGCTTGTAAATAATGGACCGATCTTGAATCTGGCGAGTCCAAGACCGCCTTCGGATTGCAAGGTTCACATCATATCCATTTTGAAGAAGGAGAAGCGATAGATCCTGTCGCCCACATGCGATCGCGTACAGAAAAGGGGTCATATTCTGTACATCAGGTTCCTTGATGGAAACGCCCCTAGCCATGAAATATGCTAACAATGTGCAACTGTTACCAGACTTCTGAGCTTTGCAAATGTGATGTAAGGCATTCTGGTGCATGTTGTTGAAAGTGTGAATGTGAGCCCCAGCATCCACCAGACGATAAATGGTCGCAGCATGCATGTTTTCTACTGCAATGAGCAGTGGAGATTGGCCATAAACATCTTTTGCCTCCAAGCTTTTCGGTGTACGAGCGAACAGCTGAACTAAGTTTTCATTGCCGACTTCTGCTGCAAAATGAAGGGCCAACCTGGACTTATTGTCTTGCACATCAGGATTCGCACCTTGTCGTAAAAGAAGATCTACAACTCCATTCTGGGATTCCATTATCGCCCAATGGAGTGGAGTTCTCCCACTGTCATCAATTGTATCTATACAAGGTTGGATCTTGTGCGGAATCCTCAGGGATCTTATATACTCTTTTATCAATCCATAGATGGTCGAGTCCGTGAATAAAAGAGAAATAAGAAGGTATTTGATGCCCCATGTTGCTGCGACATGTAAAATGGAAAATCGTTGGGGAACAGGACGGTGCCTGCGATACGAGTCCAACCACACCTCACGCTCGACTGAATCGAAATGGAAAAACCGCTGATATTCAGGCAGGATATTGAATTCCATGCCAGCAGATCCGGCGTGTTCGGGCCAGTAAAGAGTGGCATATTCAAGAAACGAATCACGCTTTTGATCCACTTGCTCGTCAAGGAGACCAATATTGTCCAAAATGTATTCAACACACCTATTTGCCAGAGATGCGTGGACTTGCAGCTCGTTTATAGAGAATGGGTGTGTCAAAATCAGAAGAAAATCTCTGACTGACTTGTGCAAAAGGCGCACAACTCTATCTTGAATAACAACCATAAGACGGCATATATCGATATATTCCTCTGTAAACTTCAGTCGATGTTCATTATCCTCTTCTTGGTAGAATTTGCAGGCGATAGATAGCTCTGGCACGCTAAGAGGACGTCTCGACGTTGCGACAACGGCAAGGATCCGTGAAACAGTATCGAAGCTGTCTTTATCCGCTTCTAGGGCCATTTCTAGCAATTTGGCATAGAGGGAATGCAATCCTTGTGGTAAGCTCTGTAGTTTCTTGATTGCATCTCGTGATCCGCTACGTGCCAATTCCTCACACGCAATACCAACCCATAGAAAGGTTCCTTCTGCCTTTTCTTTAAGTATGCGTGATACATCTCGTTTTGTTCTCCCGGTATAGCATTTTCTCAATGCAAGCTCATTGATTTTCTGGTCAATGAATCCCTGAAGATCATCCTGGACTTCCTGATAACTGCACAAGTCTTTCGATCTATATGGATGGAGGTACTCCCGGATTTCAGGGAACGGTCGACTAATTATCAGAAAGTGTATTCTACCGACTGTGGGATCATTCTGATTTCCACAACTTTGGGTAATTTGCGTCAACAGCATTCTCTGCGAACTTTGGTCGCATTCGTCCAAGGCATCAATGATACAGTAAAGTTGTTGATATGCATTATCGTATCCTACTTCAATGAATATGGCCCACAATGCATCAAATGAATCGAACAGCTTTTCCCCACGCTCCTTAAACTTGGGGAGTAAGTGTTTCATTAAATGCGGGCGTTGCTTAACCAGCTGGGATAGAAGACCACGTAGTATCGCAGTTGCTGTACAACCTTCTGGAGAACTGGAGTCGCAGAAGAAGTATGCAAGAGCCTTTTTTTGGCCTATCATATCACATTGATTCAAGAGAATGTCCACCAGGGTGATCGCCATGGTTGTTTTTCCAGTACCTGGGTAACCATAAAACCACATCACTCTTTCAGAAGGGGCTCTAGGCGATGCGAGCCAAGCCCGAAGTTCGTCCGTGTCTTTGATCCAGTCGCATGTGCCAGGAGCGCGGTCTCCTTTGCGTCGCTTCAGCGCGTTCTTATTTTCCTCGGGGTCGATTATGAAAAGACTTCGCCGGCACGCCTCTTCCTCAGGAGTGAATTGTTTTCCTGTGACCTTGTCAGTGTATAGGTGACTTGAAAAGAAGATGACATACGTTGTCTTGGGAGAATAACGGACAGCAGCTGTTTTGCATAAGCTGCCGCAGTCAGGGCCGCATAACCCTGCCATTCTTTTCGTTTGTGAGAATCCGAGTAGTCACAAATTCCACGGACCACTAAGCATGGAAGTTGATCCATCAAACCTGCCGCCTCCATCTCAAAGCAGAGGATGTTCTGTCCCTTGGCGACTCGGTCACGTGTCTCTGCATCTTTCATAACTTGATTCCCGGAAGCGATTATTCCATAATGGAAATCTGGTTCGTCTGTCACTCGTGGCGGACGAGACAATAGTTGCGTCCGGTCGCACGTTGAGCAGTCATGGGTGCCGTCTTGATGTTGATATGTTGCATGAAAAAGCAAATCATTAGTGGGCCGGGAAAATTGCTTTCTCATATCGTTGTTGGATTCGAGTGCCCTCATCACAATCTGCTTGATTACTCGCTTCCCCTGCATTCGGTCTTTCTCCAAATGGCTCACTGCTGTCAACAATATTTTGGGCGGTTTGTTGAGAAATCCTGTGAGCTGAAGTTCGGCCTGGGTTTTCTTCCCATAATCATATTGTATTACACCACTTCCGTTCCCAGTCGGCTTGCTGATCACGACATCGCCTAGCCGAATATCAACATTCGTAGGTACTCCGCCTCCAATGCCGACCATTAGGCCAAATTGCAGTGACGGGAATGTGGCCAGCATTTGTACTAGCACCGTGGTTGCCGATGTGGTCCCGTATATTCCTGATGGCAAGCAAGCAATCACCACGTTATGGCCGTTCAAGCTACCGAGAGTATAGATGTTGTCATCACTAAACGCCTGAGGAAGGGGACCGTGACGTTCATCTAACATGATTTGGGACGCAGCTAGTTCCACTGGTAGCGCGCAGACCCATGCTACGGTGTAGTCATCGTGCGAAAGTGTCAAAATCGCCATTGCAGTATAATATCTGAGCGCGTTGTAGTGGAATAGTAAGTCCTTCACGGTTTTGATTAAGATAGTTTCTATCACTCTCGATGGCCTTGAATGCATCTTTATAAGATCGGAGTCTAGGACATCGAGCGGGGTTGCTCGGCTGCGTACTGCAGGCAGGCTGTGCGCAAGGCTGATTGTTGGGTTAACGCCAACGCATAAGCCAGTTCTCTGGCAAAAAGTATTATGATCCATGCAATTAAACGAGGCAGAATCCGGAGTGGTTGGCAGCATATGGCAAGGAGGCAATTGGCTATATTGACCATAGTTTGTGCCCGTCCGAGAGCCAGTCCGATTTCTGAATCTGAGATTCGGAGCCACGTCACCATTCTTCAACGTTCTATGTCCGAAGAATAGGATTCGGGTAAAGACCTGTGTAAGTGAACGGCTGCAATCAGAGTGGCTGGTCTTCTACTCTCTCAGTAATATGCTTTATTTTAACTTAACTATATATATTGATTAGGACATTGGATGATTTGAAAAACCTCTTATTGTTGTGTTGGGGCGCTGCAATTGGATATAGTTCTAACGGTAGATCAACTGACTTTGCAGAAACCACAAATCTCGAGTCACTCCAGTGCGTTCTGCTCCATAGACATATCCAGTTCCTTGCCAGCTAACTTTTTCTTTTTCTTATTCTTCTTGGCTTTTTTAGACTTGCCAATCATTAATGACGACTTTTCTTCTTCTGCTGGCCCAGGTGGATCTATATTGACAGTGACATCAGCAGATCTTTCCTGCTCTAAAGCATCAGGTATTGTATCTTGGATCCACTCTGGGATAGAATTAGCGATATTCTGATCTTCGGCTGGGGCGAGAGGAGTACAGTCACTTAGACTCTCGACTGGGACCAGATCAATTCTTTCGGGCTGGTCAGATAAAATGATTGGGGAGAGCTGGGAGTCCTCTGGCGGGGTGACTTGGGCATCAGTTTCCCCGGCGAGCAATGAAAAATTTTCAGACTGCTTAGATGCTGAAGAATGAAGTTCTCCTCGAGGCGAATGGATGACACTGGCGGAAGCCGGTTTTATGTTGCTTTCTATGACTAGATAGTAAATTAGGTTATTAGTATAGGGTCTTTGCAAATCAACTATAAACCATACCTATGCCACGAATTCCGACAAACTTTTTACAGGTCTCCAGACCTCTGACGAGAATATCGAGCTTTTTAGTCAATTGTTCTCTTAGGCTCCGATATTCTTTGGTTTCACCCGCGATACAGGTGACCATCTCTGGTGTCATTTCAAATACCGCAATAGGGGAGAAAAGATCCGATAGTGGTACGACGAGCTTATTTTCAACTGCCTCAACAGCAACATCATCGATGAAGCGCTTCAGAGCCACCTATGATACAGTCAATATGGATCATATAGCATCGCAGGAAACACTCGCCTTGTAATATGCCAGCATGCAATCCAACGCCTCAGCAGACGCAAACCGACCCATGTCAGGCTCTGTAGACTGGATGATTCGACGAGATAGACCCTGCAGGTCTACAGATCCGACCTCACTGGCAACTGTTTTCATGTCTGATGCGTTGAAGAAGGCTTGAATGGATCTCATGATCTCCTTCTCACGGCGCTCGTTGCGAATTTTCTGTAGGTTCTCGGTGAAATAATGATTATAGGTGATAGGGTGGCCGTGGGTATGTGGTAAGAGCAATTCCAAGATTTTTTCTTGTCCTGCTTGTCGAAGATCGTCTAATTTAGGCTCAAAAATTTCCCGCATTAGAACTGTCGAAGTGGCGTTATCAGCGATATGTGCAATTGTTGAGCCTATGAATTGTTTTACGGCATCTGCTACTTGAGAAATATGGCTGCTGGTAATACCTTCCCATAACGTGCATTGCTCCATGAACAATTCAGAGATTATCATTGGGTTGAAGGTTCCCGGTAACTCTCGGCCTCGAGTTCTTTTGAGAATCTTCTCAATATGTTGGATGTATTCCGCACGGGTCAGCATGATTTGACCGTCGTGATCAAGATTCTTGGGGTCACTTGAAGGAGCGATCTTTCTGCGATGACCATGACGGCTAATATTGTCCGCGAAAGTTTCGTTTAGATTCTGAACCACTGCACGCAGTCGCTTTCGATATCCCGAGTCAGCGTGTATGTCATCAAAAAAGGCACTATTGTATGTTCCATCAACGGCAGCTTTCACGGTTGTTTGAAATGCCTGGCTGATATGAAAAAGATAAGCTTGCTGCTGCTGTAAAGTTTCCCGGGCATTACCAAGGCGTTTTAGCTCCTCGTTCGACTTGTCAACTTGAACTTTTATCTCGTCAATCAAATTTGGCAACTCAGTGGCTATCTGAGACAGCAGCAGTGTGCTCAGACGGTCTCTTAACCCGTCGATCCCAAGTAAATTCTTGGGCATGAACTCCCAGACACCTTGCGAGAAGAACTCCCGCTCTTCTGCGTCACGGTCAGAGAGTGTTGCTCGACCCTTTTCAGTATCCATGTTCTTCAGAACGTGCCATCCCAAACGAAAGTCGACCTCTTGATTTTTGGCTAACGAAACGAACATTTTCTCGGTTTCCGAACCAGGAATCAGAACATCAGGTTTTGTGATAACCCCCATGGTCCTATATCCGGATTCGTCCGCAGTGCGAGCCAGACGAAGCACAATTTGATTTGCAAAATCATTTTTAGCCGAGACAACCGCTAGAATAATACTTCTTGGTTCTCTCATATACTTCTGCACGACTTCTTGTACAAGCGTCACGTCCGCTGCGGACTGTTGTTTGGTTTCTGAGTGGATGAGGCCCGGAAGATCAACAATGGTCAAATGAGGCCGATCGGGTCCTGCGACCTCTACCCGGAGTATGTCATTTGAAAAGGCTTTGCCGTGCGTCGAGATTCCCATGATACTTTTAGCATTTTCGATCAGAATGGGTAAGCTGTCGAAACTGTCTAGGGTTTCTCGAAATGTGCTTAATGAGCGCTGTTCTGATTCGCTTCTTGAGGGGTGAGGGACGATAGATACGCTCACCCCGATCTGCGAACTCTTGCGTAGCACTAGTTCAGTGGGAAACCTTGTACAGAGATTACTCTTCACTGGGAATGCAACCCCAGATATTGCTTCCAAAACGGAGCTCTTCCCAGACGATTGATCGCCGCAGACGATAATTTGTGGTAGCGACACATAGTGACTGATCCCTTGTAAACGCAAAGTGTCCACCGAGTCCAGGAGGCTAAGTTGCTCCTGCGTGCAGATGCCGGATAGAGCATCTGTAGAGAATGCCGTCATTACCATAGTATGTAAAGGTGTCGAGTAAGCAAGACAGAATGATTTCTAATATCAGGGGCGTAGGAGAAAGTTGGCGTAGGAGAAAGTTGACGTAGGAGAAAGTTGACGTAGGAAATTTTGTAAGGAGGGAAGTGAAATTGCTTGATTAATCTAACTAATCCTTGTACCAACAGTGGAAAACACTAGCTATTTATGCTTGTGAGCAAGATTGTGATACTTCTATCCTGATACTGACCATCCCTTGAGACTCCAATATGAAACAATCCTGTCAAAGAGATGTACCGTACGCAAAGAAGCCTTTATATGTAATGAAACAATCTGAATAAAGGCAGAAACAAATGGCAGAAACAGCACAAAGATTGTTTATGCCAACAAAAGTATCGATACACTTTGAAGTAGTATTTACGGACAATATATGATCCATCGGTCATTGCAGTTTGTGTTGCAATTTTCAGCCTCACCTTCTGAGTGATTGCGCCTATCGCAGAAAATGAAGAAGAATCTTCGTTGCTATCTTGTATCACATGGAAGGTCTAGATCAAAGTCGTTGCAAGGGAATTCAAGAGCCTGCTATATTCCTTACTTTCAGAATATCTGATAGCATTGTCTACCGTCGGACTCAAATATCTGATACATTTCCCTGCATCTTTCCAATATGGTAATCCTTGGTCCACATAACCCTAGGCGATATACAATACGTGACCATAAAAAAGCATTCCAGACAGGCGAGACAATTATTAATCAGTTAAAACCTCTCTATCAGCTTCCTGCTTTTGGTCCTCCTCATTTTCCTTTCGTGTTTGCAGGAAATCGTCTAGTGTCTTGTGAATAGGAACCGGGTAGTACGACTCCTAAAATACGTACCTTTAGCATGCCATGGTGCATTTTTCAATTTATAAATAACATACCAAAGAAGATAATGAAGAGGACCAGATACCGGTAGATTCTGAGCAAAATGTTGTGACCTGGCCGGTTTCCTTGACACGGATGCCGAGGAATATTTCAGTGTCACAAATGATGCACATTTGGAATGCCTTTTTTATTAGGTTTTCTCTACGCCGATTGCGCTTCTGAAGGTACCGCCTTCGCTCGATCTGAGCGCTAGAAAGGGAGGCAGATGGCTTTGTTTCGTTCTTTGTGAGTGCCGTTTCCATCGTGTTCAGCTCGAGAGAAATATAGCATAGGTGCTCTTTTAACCTTGATTTATCGAGGGGGATGCTGGATCTTATACATGGCTTTTTGGCTTACTTCTTCAGAGAACAAACTCACTACAAGTCTAGCTGATAGAGTTGAAGCTTTTGACCCGATTCAATCGATCCCAAGTTTTTAGATTGAATGAATTACTACCTTCTTGCAGAAATCGGAAACGATCCGACTCAACTACCTGCATGAAGGAATGACCAATGCTATTAATCTAGATTATCCTATTTGAATCGGCCCAAGGTAGATGATACCCACCGGGCCGAATCTGGAACCATGTCTGAGACAACCGTTGAATACCAAATCTCAATGGGCTTCCACACACAATTCTCACACCAAGGACATCCCCGCCAGGTGTATGAAGAACGTCAACGTGATGCTCAAGTCTAATTGCTTTCTGGCCCTAGACGCCCCACAACCCGCTCCAGGCCTTTGAACTCCCTGCTCATGGTGGCCGCTTAAAGCGCTTGCGCACTGGTCGCTACAATTAAGCACTGAAATTGCGGGTTTGATTTCCTTTCAAAAATCTTAATATGGCCATTACTTTCGGATTTGGCAACCTTTCCTCTTGTTTCGTCTGTATCACGAGAGAATACTGTGAATTAATATTTGAACATAGAATTCAAGCTGATACATTGCTATGGACTCGGTAGACTAATCAAGTAGTAAAATATTCCATACTAGTCACACGCGAGCAGTAATCCTAGTTGAGGTCGTAAGTGCCTTGTTCAAATATCAATATCGCTAGCTGGGCGAGAGATGTTGAATCTCCAGTGGTGTTGATTGACAGGGTCCTTCTGGTAAAGGTTGAGCTCAAAGAACTTGTTATGAGCACCACATTTATAATTTTTGTACCTTCTTCAAATCAGTTTTATTTGAACGCGAGAATGGATCATCTGATAAGTGGACTGACGCATTCAATTTCTGAAAGTTTCCGATGATCAAATCTTGCTCGGTAACCTCCAAAAATCCACCTTGGCTCTCTGCGAAGCTATCCGGGTCTGGGATAAAGTAGCGCTTGGCCTCGACAGGGCCATAATTGACTTGCTGGACAAATTGTACGGCAAATTCTGGAACATTGTTGGGATTCCGAAAGTACGAGTCTGAGTTTGACACGGGAGAAGATTGGGAATTTCCTGCCCATGCCATGAATCGCTGGAACTTGGTCTCGTGCATCAGGCGAGCCTCTCTATAAGGGGTGATGAAGGAACAGCAAAAGGAAGACATCGTAAACGGAGATAGCAAGCACTAATTAGAATTGAACTCACACTTCAGAGATTGATGGGGAGGTTTATGACATGGGTGGATTCAGCTCTGCTTTTATAACTCTTCCAAGCCTCAAAGGTGCAAAAAACGACCGACCTCGTTGAATGCTTGATCTTGAATGCATTTTAAAAAGGCAGTCCAATATTTGTAGCATGTGTCTTACACGAAACTCCTCCACTTTCGCACGGTCACGTCGCTTTTTGTCTGATCAGTCAATCACAGACTCCAGATTGGGGGCATTTTGGAAGATATGTCATAATTCCGGGTGAGCTAATACATCCTCTGTACATGAACACGCACTTTATATGCAGGATGGTCCAGCACACCAATTAAGCAACTGTATTCGGGGGCATTCCCGCTAGGGCCTCTGCCGCAAGACCCACCTCAATGATGAGCTAGATCTGTCCATGTCAGTACGTCAAATATAAATACGCCAGAGAACCCACCGATAAAGAATTCTTTTCTGAATCAGGGGCAGCCGGCCTGTCATCTCCATCCTTCTGAACAAGACACAACAGCTGTCCCTCAATCCACATTCATTATCGCATCTTTTTGTACTAGTGATTTCAGTTACCGGAACATCTCTCATTTATACAAGTTCTTTTTGCACCATATTGTTCAGCTTTTGAGCGTTTTAATTCCGAACCTCCTCTAGACCTCTCCGTTTGTATCTGCTTGAAGAAAGGTGTTGCAAAGGGTGAACAGACCATATTTATTCTTTCCTGATCGCGGAAGCCCATCTCTGATTCTCAACATCTAGCCTCTGATCGACAGTCAAATCTCCAACTACAACAACTTCTTCTTTTCGGTGACGGGACTGTCAACCCAGCGTGGCTAGATAAGGAGGCCACCGAAGGTCCCTTCCAGGATCAAACCTCGACAAGCCAACACCAGCCTCATCAAACGAACGACGGAGAGTTATTTAGTCAACTTGGTTCCTCGCATCAACTCGAAGAACTTTCGCATCTCGATTTTAATGATAACCTCCCTTCTGATTTATCCATTACCACCCACAACTATAACTCTAGAGCGACTCTAGGAGTTCCCGAGCCTCGCAAGCAGCATGCACTAGTAAATTGCAACCACTGCGGACGACAATTTTCCAAAGGCCATCGCTGGAAGTATGTATCTCGTCCAGACTTTTTCAATGTCTCATCTCCAAATGCCTCTTCTAACTTCATCTTTCAGTAAACACCGTAGAGCATACGTATGTTCTGACACGAGTTGCCAAAGATACATTTTCCCTGGTCTGCCTTGTAGCCCTGAACAAGACGACAAGGCATTCGGAGATAATGCTGACCTCCGTCGACATATGATTACCCATCAAGATGTCGATGCAATTGACAGAGAGATGGTTCCATGTCAAATGGGAAGATGCGGGGGAAAGCTGATGAGAAAAGACAAGCTCTCGCGCCATCAACAGCGAAAACATAGGTTGGAAATGTTGTTGTAAGTAGTACGACCTTAGCTGGCGACTCTTTTGTTGTAGGTATTCATTCATTAGAATTTGGAATAAATCGAAGACATTATTTTATCATTAAGTTGCACTATGTTAAGCTACCTAAGAAGTTGATCTGCTGTATCCTCCAATAACAGCCTTTGATTTCTATTCCCATATGGCATACAGTGGCAGATTGTCACACAAGTTGGCGCATTTTTTGGCTGATTTAGAATTTTAAGCAAGAGGCTCGCTGTCAGTTGAGGCGGCATGCTTTCCGGCATCTCCGATAGTTGTACGTTATGGAAACCGATCGAACGGAGGGAGCTCTTGTTTATGACTAAAATATTCCTCAAAGTTTCATAGTTGACCAGTAAAGAACAAAAGTCGATTTGGCACACGTCCAATGCGCACTGAGAGAGCAAATCCAGAGCCGATTGGGACTGCGTCACTCGAAGTTTTCGCATGCCGCTCAAAAGTTCCTGCAAAGCCCCAGATAACGCCATGAGATCTGAAAGCTTTACATGGTGCGGCTGGAAATGTAGCCCCGATAGATGAACAGTGTCAACTAGACTACCCCGCAGACGAGCCAGAGCAAGAGCATTTGATATCACCTGCACGTGGTGCTCGTAAGACTTCTCCGTCATCGTCATGTCCGGCTTAATGTATGATTCCAGCCATTCATTACATTCCAGTACCGTGCAGAAATGGAGGGTCAGCTCCCTCATTTGAGGAAACACTTGGAAGGAATGCGATAGCGCTGTCTGGTCCATGTTTCCCTCTATAATCAAGTTCTGCTTCTTACACAGCTTCTGTAACGAATGATATATCATCATGTATGGGGGACATTCGGTTGGGGGATACCCGAAGTCATACAATGATCTAGCCTCCTCAACGTAGTCTTCTGGGGTTAATGCCATTGACTTGAAGTAATTAAAATCGACTACATCTAATCATTGTCAGCTAGCTGTCTCCAGGTATGTAAAAAGTTCTCTTACCTGGTTTCAGCAATTCCGGTACCACATACGTAAATGAAACAACGTGATGGCGGATCTCCGAGTTAGACAAGTTTCTGAGTTCTCGAAAACCACTTCTGGAGAACTCAAAACGAACGAATTGGAAGATCGACGGTATGCATATCGCCCTCATTCTCCTGTTTGTCCCAGACAGTTGTTTTCGTTCCCATGATGGAAGTAATTGAAGGATGAGGATGATGATCTCGATAGGTAACCGGTCTAGGCCACGTAGTGCTCCGATATTTCGCATGGTGATGAGGTTGTGAAGCATCAGATAGTATGAGCAACCGGTAGGGTGCAGGCAATTTTTATGTCTATACTTCAGCCGAATAAGACTTCTCTAAAATTGCACGGAAACAAAGACTAAGACCTATATTGACGCGCTGAATCCGATTAAATTGCTTTTGAATCAGTTGCAGCTCTGACTCAAATGTCCGCAGAGCTACTTCAATAAAACAGGATATTCTCGAATAGTTACAAGAAGGACCCACTATATGATCACTTGAAATGGAGGCGAAATTTCTTGCTTCACAAGTACTTCTCGTTAAAATTTCTTTGATGTACATACCACTATATCAAGTCTTACTTACCGATCCGCAACGAGCCTGTCACGGATTGGATCGACTCATTCGATTCAGATCGTTCTTCTTGCTAGCCAGCGTACCAACCAACCAAGTTTCGCCATCGCCTGTTATGAGTAAGGCCTAGATTAGACATGCAATTCAACACCATCTAAAACGAAAAAGACTCGTGTGCCAGGCCATTGATCTGAACGATGATCGTGCAAGAGCGGCGCTGTTACCCAATTTAACTATTTTCCAAATTCTCTAGGCAAGAGGCACTCGAAATGTCTATATATTATTATTCCCAAATCCTTCTTTAGGTTCGTTCCATTAATGTATATTGAGTGCTGTGAGCGTTGTTCAGCCGAGGCAGAGAATATGAGTGAACAGGAAATTCAGGGGCTGTTAAGCGGCAATCAATTCGCCGCCAATGTGCGGGACCGCGTTAGACGGAAGAGAAAATTGTACTCTGTTGGCTTCATTCTGGGGTTTAAACTGCGATTGGCATTAGGGATACTAAAGAAGTCGGAGATGGAAGTGTACACATGGCACTTGCGAAGTTTGTTGACGCGAGATTACAGCGACGGGAAGCTGGTGGTGGTTGTTACACGTCGTTGTGAAACGTACATGTTAGAGGAGATGCAAAAGGCGACTCATCAACTAGCGGAGTTGCGCCAGAGAAAGTTTCCGAAGTGAGACATATTGTACTCTTAGTGACGGAGACAGAATTCTGAACTGACCCTATGAGTGCTTTAGTCACACCGCAGCAATCTCAGTTCTTTGCCTGCCGACGATAAATCCTACGCAGCCTAGTTATTCTAAGTCAAGTTGATAGTGCGACTGATCTAATAAGTCCTTTTCGCAACCCAAGTGAGGTGAATTCAGGGCCCTCCAAGTTATGCCTTCGGTGTCAAGGAGAGGATTTTGACGGACGTCTTTGCATTGTAGTTTTGAAGCCTGAAAGCTTTGTAAGCTACGGTTGTTAGCATGCCAAGTATCACTCCCTCCGAAGATTATGTTTTCTCTGAATGCACCACCTAGAAATCACCAAATAATGTATTGGTGGGATCCCTTGTTATATCTGTGGTGAGACATCCAGACACTCTTAGTGTCCATCAGCTTTCGAAGATCTAACAGAGAACGCTTTAATTCTTAGAGGCTGCATGTGTCCATATAGCTATATACATGTTATTTACAGGCAGACTTTTTAACATAAGCGAAGTCAAAACGGAAATACCATGTTTAACAAGAAGATTCTGCAGAAGCGTTAAGACATTCCACAAATGGCATGCGAATGATAGACAGCAACAGATCAAAAAAGTTGTCATGAGCACCCTGGCTTTATCTCCTTTATTGGCGTCCTCCTCATTTTTTCATTGCGATTCCACTTTACTCTGAGCCTGGATAAACGAATCTAATTCCCAAATGTACAGTAGTTTGCACCTTCAGAGTAACAGCTAACACTCTCTTCTCTTTCTTCTGAAACAGTGCTAGGAGTTTCCTAGTCTACATACAGCTAGATCCGGAATAACCCTCGCTCGTGTAACTTTCTCCGTGGCGTATTGCGCATTCGCAGATTTGATACGCCCGTAAATTACATGTATCACTACCTACTCGTAGGCTTGGGTAGTGCGCAAATTTATTTTACCTACTCCGTAGTATATGCGTGTTTTTCCATAGGTGGCCGGCCCAATATTGACCCGAGATGTCAGCAGTGATCGGAGTAACTATAAACACGAAGAATCTGCCATTTACTTCGGCTTTCTCGCCCATATCTGACATTTTAGTTTTCGTAATATATATGTTGTTACTAAGGTATAGCGTTACTTTACAATAGATTCTCCTGGATCTTAATCGACAACTAATGTTAAATAAAAACGGCTCAACATTTTGTATAATTAATTCAAGGGTAGTTAGTTTACGGTATAATTGTGAGTAATCAACTCAATTCGTCTCAGATTGCTGAAGCTGGTTAATGCCATTCAAGCACAATTAAAGACATCGCTCCACTTTGCGCTTATTAAGTCCATTCAAATGAATGAGAATGGTGTCTAGCAAGAATAATCCTTTGGATCTGGATCGACTCCATCCGTGTTGAGAAGTAACTTAACTATTGCCTCATGCCCCTCTGATGCAGCTCTTGATAGTGGTGTCTGGCCATCATTATCCTTTAGATCTTGATCAACTCTGCCTGTGTTGAGAAGTAGCTTCACTGTTGCCTCATGCCCTTTATATGCAGCTATTGACAGTGGTGTCCGGCCATCATTATTCTTTAAATCTGGATCAACTCCATCCGTGTTGAGAAGTAGTTTCACTATTGCCTCATGCCCTTTTGATGCAGCATAAAATAGTGGTGTCGAGCCATCATCCTTTGGATCTGGATCAACTCCATCTGTGTTGAGAAGCAGCTTCACTATTGCCTCATGCCCTTTTGATGCAGCATAAAATAGTGGTGTCCAGCCATTATTATCCTTTGAATCTGGATCGACCCTATCCGTATTGAGAAGTAGCTTTACTATTGCCTTATGCCCTCTTGATGCAGCTCTTGAAAGTGGTGTCCAGCCATTATTATCCTTTAAATCTGGATCGACTGTATCTATGTTGAGAAGTAGCTTCACTACTGCCTCATGCCCTTTATATGCAGCCATTGACAGTGGTGTCAGGCCATTATCAGTTCTTGAATTTGGATCGACCCCATCCATGTTGAGAAGTAGCTTCACTATTGTCTCATGCCCTTCTGATGCAGCATAAAATAGTGGTGTCCAGCCATCTCTATCCTTTGAATCTGGATTGACACCATCCATATTGAGAAGTAGCTTTACTATTGCCTCACGCCCACTTGATGCAGCATAAACTAGTGGTGTCCGGCCATAATTATCTTTTGAATCTGGATCGACTGTATCCGTGTTGAGAAGTAGCTTCACTATTGCCTCATGTCCTTTTTGTGCAGCCTCTGATAGTGATGTCTGGCGAGAATTATCCTGTGAATCTGGATCGATTCTATGCATATTGAGAAGCAGCTTCACTACTGCCTCATGCCCTTTTGATGCAGCATAAAATAGTGGTGTCTGGCGAGAATAATCCTTTGAATTAGGATCGACTCCATCCACATTGAGAAGTATGTTGACTATTGCCTCATGCCCTCTTAATGCAGCATAAAATAGTGGTGTCCGGCTATCTCTATCCTTTGAATCTGGATTGACTCCATCCATGTTGAGAAGTAGCTTTACTATTGCCTCATGCCCTCTTGATGCAGCTCTTGATAGTGGTGTCCGGCCATCATTATCCTTTGAATCTAGATTGACCCCATCCATATTAAGAAGTAGCTTTACTATTGCCTCATGCCCTTCTGATGCCGCGTATGATAGTGGTGTCCGGCCACGATTATCTTTTGAATCTGGATCGACTGTATCCGTGTTGAGAAGTAGCTTCACTATTGCCTCATGTCCTTTTTGTGCAGCCTCTGATAGTGGTGTCCGGCCATCATTATCCTTTGAATCTAGATTGACCCCATCCATGTTGAGAAGTAGCTTTACTATTGCCTCATGCCCTTCTGATGCCGCGTATGATAGTGGTGTTGAGCTATGATCATCCTTTGGATCTGGATTAGCCCCGTATTGGATGCTAATCCGAGCAGTACTCTCATTCCCGTATTTAGCAGCCCATAGTAGTGCGAAGCTATTTTTATTTTGACGGTCATACCGATAAAGACATGGAATAAACACGGAATAACAATGTCGGCTGGTCCGAGATAATGCGCTTATATCCTTTTCTGTTTCGAGGAATTCTGTCAGGAGTTGTAATAATTCAGTAGGTAAATCTATCAGTTTCATTGTGATTTGCTAGGGATGTTCATAGAAAGCGTTGAGAGGCTGGGAGTCGGGATTTCAGTCCAAGAACCCGTTGCTGGTCAACAGGAGACAGAAGTGTTAGGCTTGCTCTACTAACTTTACCAGGCAGTTTTAGAACACGTGTTCAGACTATTGTATTTTACCGCCATTCATGTATTGTAAATAAAAGTCTGTATCGACAGATACTGTATTATCTCCGCATTAACATTATTCCTACACTATTCTATATTTATAATAGCGTCTTGGCACTGTTTCAGAGGAAAGAGAAGAGAGTGTCAGTTGTTACTCTGAAGGTGCAAACTACTGTATGCCAGATAGGGAGAGTCTTGGCTAATGTTGAAAAAAGGGTGCTATACATTCATTAGTTCGGGAGCGCCACAATTGACAGTCAAACTAAGAGTTTTAAGACTAATACCGTTCGCCGATTTCACAAAGTCGTTGGCCATCACCCAGGACAGACTCCTCTCATCTGCGCTGCCATCGAGGCTGAGTAGGCTCTCAGCAATATCGTAAACCGCCTCCACCTCTCGAGAAATATCCTTTGTATCTCTCGCTTGCATCATACTCTGTCCAATATCTCCTACAAAGCATCAGCGAAATGATCGCAAACATCAATGTGGAGATTTCCTTACCAATTTTGATTTCACCATCTTCATTGAGATATGTATTGTCACAATGCAAGTTGCCATGTACAATGTTGAGAACGTCATGAACATAGATCAATCCTTGGATCACCTATGTACTCATTAGTCATACTTTCAAACCATGGCGATTGTACTTTGAACCTTTTTGCAAATCGTCGCCACCGCAATTCGGTCAATCAGCTTAAATTGCTTCATTTTGGACAGTGATACTCCCGGTCTCTCATAATGGAGGTAGATTCCATCTTCAATGACTGAAACACGCATGAGATTCAGTAGATTGGGATGGCTGGTTAGCTGGAGAGAATTTAAATCCCCATTCACCTCATCAAGATCTAATTTCTTGAGAAATTTTGATCGGCGAGCGGAGGAGTTTAATTCCACCTCCATTCCACAATATGCCTGCCCAGATGTGTCCGGAAATTCGACATGAATATTTTCAATTGGAAGGGAATATAGAGACTCCTTGAAGCCATCTATTAGAGACAGAACAGTTTTCCTGTTGTCAATGGTTTCCTTGCCATGAGCGTCTTGAATAAAATTTGATCGTCCTCCGGACATGCTGTCCAGAGCAATCGTTGTTCCGCCACATTTGCACATTTTGCGTCCGAGCTGGGGTTAACTGTAGTTCAGGGAATATAGGAGGAAAGTCATAGAAGATGATCATTTATATAGTTCAGGTCTGAAGTCTCCATGGAAGGTAATAACAAGATCTAGAATATTCGCCAAACTAAATTGCCCTGATTTATTGGAACGAATATCTGGCTGGCATGAAACACACTCTGGCAACAACTAAGAGATCCCACCATCGCAACGTATTCCGATTCAAAAGTCCATACGGTAGAGCTACTTACGATGAAACAAAAAATTCTTGATAGTTATAAGTGTAAAGAATATGATCACAAGGTCACGTGATGACTAGTGATTCCGAGGCTAATTATAGTCTCAACCCCTGAGTTGTATGTAACTAGAGAGACAAGCAATACACAGAGATTCAACGCATCGAATCATCTCCTTATTAATACTGACAAGCAACTGATCATTGATCACTATTACTGAACGATATCAATCCTCTGAGTCTATACGATCCATCCACCGATTTCTTTACAATAAGAAGGATCACTGTATGACCACTTTAAATAGAAGTGAATATTTTTTACTTTGGAATTACTTGTATTAGAGAGCCTGTCACGGATTAGATTGATTCATCCAATTCAGATCATTCCTCTTACAAGCAGGCTAACCAGTAGACCCACTAAACCAACCGAATTTTGTCTGCTATAAGGAAGGCCCAGATTAGACATACGATTCACACCATCTAGAGCAAAAATACTTGTGAGGCAGAGATAAATCCGCACGATGATTGAAAAGCCGGTGCGCGCTTACGCTCGCTTCAATTATTCTCCAAATCCATCGCTCCAGACCAAACCTGCTGTCACGATTCAGAACATTTCAGTGCCACGCGGTGCCCACTACTGTATTACGACTGACAATATTGTCACCGAAATGAAAACTATCCCTGGCACCATAAACGGTATTCATGTTTTGTAGGATAGTGATATGACTCATTCAATTAATTAACTTTTCCCAACAAGACTGCCACCATTTAAATCGGCTCAATCGGTCTGAATCTGTCCTCCCGACAACTCACCGAATCCAGTTGAAACTATTTTCGAGCTCTTTGGTACAGTCCCTCTTCCTTTTTACTTCGATCGGAATTATCCACGAAGAACATATCAAGACTGACGCCTTCCCTACCAATCCACAACGATTAGATTGGTCATCCGAACAAATTCGTTGCTGTTACCCGCAGGCCTACGAACGGGTCACGAACTCCCTAATTTCATCGAACAAGCCACGGATTAGCTAGTATGCATTTACCCTTCAAAATTTTTGTGTAGAGGGACTTCAATCTGCATCAATCCTACGCATTCCAGCTGACCTCACCGCAAATTGCCCGAATCACCCCATTCGGTTCGATCGAATCACATCCTTCTAGCACCACGATGAAGTGCAAACTAACATGACCAATAATATTGCCCCTTAAAGAAAGGTGTTGCAGATCTCCCACGGGAATTAAGCATGTGCCCAGCACCATAACAGATTTGCGCTTTTTTGCAATACGAAGAATTGTGACTGGTTCAGGTAACCCACCATTCCGCACTATATACTCATTATCCAATGGGACTACTAGGACTTGGATCGGCTCAATCAATCTGAATACGTCCAACAACCTTTTCCAGAGGCTTTTGAAGATTTTCAATTAGCTGTGTAACTCGGCTTGTAAATCTTGTTGGAGCATCATCTCTCACTCAATATCTATCAAATTATATCGTAGTATGACTAGACCGTCAGAAATGACATATCGAGGTATTTTAACAGCTACTTGTCCTCTGTTTCCTGTGCATAACCTATGGATAGGAGTAGAAAGTTGTTGGAGGAGCAATGGCAAGCCGGGCCTGCCCTATGAGCTTGTGCTTCGAGCCACGGTGTTTTCTGATGAGCGGTTGCTATTTTGTCATTAGCTGGTGAGTCACTATGAAATTAGGAATGCCCTACCTTCGCCAGCTCATCGGCAGACCTAACTGAGGTGGTTGCAGCCAAAAACCTTACAGCATCCGAGTCTTCAGGCCATCGACTTGGATCAGTCAGACCTACCGCACTGTGATCCTCAGACCTTTTCTCCATCAAGTCTATTGTTATGACTCTCAACGCTTCCAGAGTCTGACTTTGGGAGCTACCCCGTACTTGGATATCCTCCAGATGCGCTGAAGGGGCCTGTCAGTGATAGGATCTACCAATGAGACTTTTCATCTTACCTATTTTGACTGTTCCATCAAGACCCATGAGTATGCTTGAGCATTTCAAAGACCGATGTTCGAACCCTTTTGCCATTAGATATGATACCCCATCAAGCACCTAGAATGAGTTAGACCTTTGTAGACAAAGGTAAAAGGAAACAGGAAGGATGACTTGACAGAGAATCGCTGCTAGCTGAGCTTCACTCAGAAAGGGATCACAAAGAACCACATCTTCCAAGGTTATGGAAAGATCCTCACCCAGAGCATACATCGATTCCTCTTGGTAATAATACTCTCTTGCGGATAGTACATTTTCGTGTTGCAGGTGACTGAAACATAACAGCATTTTGACTCCAGTGTCACCGGTATACTACCTCAATGTAAAAGTCTCGGAATGCGCCCCACGATGAACAACGATGGCAGTATCTCCAGCAAGATCGCAGGTTAACTCCTTTTCGTACGTGTTCCATGGAGACTCATATCTAATCAGGAGTGTCGGGTTCATCTTCTTGACTGACGTTGGCTGAGAAGGGGCGTGGCCTAATGCACCTAGGCATTGAACGAAGATGACGTCAATTTGAGAGAATGGAAATTATTCAGAGCGGCATACAAAAGGTTAATGTATCCGTAGTGTGGAGGAAAATAGGAATAATTCATTTTTATTTGTGATTAGGCGTATGGATTTTATAGTTGAAAAGTGGCTCCTAGGAGATCTTCAAGGGAAGTGTGACTTAGGTAGTGCAATTCCCGCGGTTGCGAGCAGACTTCGACAAGAGAAAGATACACACTACTGCAGTTGGACAAAACGTACTTGTGAGGTTTTGCTACCAATGAATACGGCACCGTTCATGTCCAATACAGTAAACGCATTCGGGTGATAATTACCAGATCCCACCATCGCAACGCATCGCAGTCAATTGAGTTTGAGAGACCGATTGACATCGTGACCTACTCAAATTAGTAAGGTTCCGATGTTGAGTTCATAGCACCGTGACCGACTTAGTAGCATTCAATAGATTGTTTCGAACAATGCACTAATTCCCCGACAAGAGCGCCACGATTCGGATTGGCTCAATCAACCTGAATGTCCCACCGCAGTAACTCCTCGGAAAATACCTCACAAAGCATGATGTGCGTATCCATGTAGTCCTAAGCTCTACTTATTACTGTAGCCCGGTTCGGAATCAAGTCTTATCGCTCCAGGATGTGTCGATTCAATTCGGTTCCGCTCCGACTCCAGCGACTGTAGCCATGATAACCACAAGGAGATTTCTAACCATGACCCTTCGCAATCTCGTTGTCACAGAGAAGGATCTATGGGGTCTTGCCTTCTGAAATCCACTTTAAAAGACACTGATACAGTTTGTTTTTCCTGATTCATCTTTATCAGACCTTGCATTCATGGTAGCGGTGAATATGGATATCCTTGTCCTCTACGCAATAGTTGTAGGCAGCCTGTTAGGACTTCTCCTGGTCCTCCAAGCGTTGTCATTCATTTCACCATGGACCACTGTTTTTGCTCGAGTTGTTGCTCGACATTTCAGCTATCCTTATTTTTTGCGCCGTCATCGGCTTGTCGGACCATGGACTAGGGCCAGCCTGATACTCCACATTCTTTATGCGTCTCTGAATACCTTCTTGACCCTTTTTCGTACTGCGTCCGTCGCCGCTGCTGGAAAGCGAGCCGGCACGCTTGCTTTAATCAATTTGATCTTTTTGGTTTCTACTCCGCATCTGAGTTTTCTATCTGATTTTTTAGGGATATCACTACGGGTGTGTCACCGAGTCCACCGGGCGATAGGCTGGACTGTGGCCGCTCTACTCCTTTTTCACGTATCCATGGCGCTGTTCTCCCAGAGAGCTGACTTCTCCTTGCAACAAGCCAATGATCTGTTCACACTGATTGTAAGTTTCTTACCTCGTGAAGGAGTTTGAAAAATAACCAGTCATAGGGAGCCATCTCTTTCGCTATGCTCTTTGTGTGGTGTTTGCCACTCTTCAGAAGCCTGTCATATGGCACTTTCCTTCGCTTTCATCAGGGACTGACAGGCGTTGGCTTGTATGGAATCTGGCGACATCTTCCCACGGGTGTTGGCTTTCCAATGATGTGTCTGTATATTTCCTTGGGCATCTTGGCGGCGACATGTCTCATGCAAATTTTCCACATGCTCTACCACAATGGATTACTTGCTGGGCGAGGTTTCCCGCGCGCCATTGCATCTGGTGATGGAGATGGCAGCTCTATTGTGAGAGTGCGTCTCACCCTACCGCGAGCTATCCACGTGCAGGCCGGCCAATGGATCAATCTTTGGATGCCAACCCTCTCTTGGTGGTCCTGGATGCAGACTTATCCGTTCATTGTCATATCCTTTTCGCCAGGCAAACAGGGTATTCTGGATTTGCTAGTACAGTCTCGTAGCGCTACCTCCACCGCGCTGCTTCATCGCGTGCGTACCGAGAAATTGAAGGCAGTTTCTATGCGAGCACTATTCAGCGGTCCGCATGGGATCAGTCAGCCTGTGGCACATTATGAAACAGTACTGGCCGTCGCTAGCGGGCATGGTATTGCCGCTGTATTACCGTATATGAAGAAAATCATACACGGTTACAACACCTCTACGACCCAGGCGCGTAGGCTACATTTCGTGTGGCAGGTAGAAACGCTCGGTAAGGATTTCGGAGCAACGGAAACGGATTCCAGCTGACAACCCAGATGTCGTGCGAGGGGGCCAAGACCTTTTAAATCATCTCTTGGAAGACGATACACTAGATAATGGTTATGTACGTTTTCTATTCGATGTCATTGATATGCCTAGTCAAACTCATTTTTAGATTCTTTCGATTTCAATTTATGTGACGAAGGACAAGCTCACCCGTGATCGACTGCCATTTGGCAATCACAAGAGGGCAATTCTCTACCAGGGGTTTCCCAACTTACGAGACCTTATCTCCCAGGAGGCATCGGGCGAAATGATTGAAAGGCTTCCACATATTGAGGACGAAGCAGGGAAAATGCTAGTGCTAGGTAAGGGACTCAAACACAGCCAAGTGAGCAGCGGCTAATCCACATTGCTTAACTTAGTCTCCGCATCTAACGTCATGCGTGATCGTTTGCGTGATATTGTTCGAAATTACTTACACCATAACGTACGAATGGCATGCCTGGACTATCAACCGGAGTAGGAGAGGGATTATCGACCCCGTGTTTGATGCCAGAAATCCAGCTTGTTACTGTTTTGGGGTTGGAGCGCCTTTTGCTCAGATTCGCTCCGACAAATCTACCACTTGACACAGCGATTTGCATCTGGGATATTTGTTTCATGAAAGGTGAAATCATGACCAATAAGCCTTGAGTGAAGGTCTTAGGAATCTTTACAAAATTTGTATCTTTCAGATAGTAATTTGGTTTTTAGTTCAAGCTTACAATGAAAGACTTGGACTATGATATTCGGAAATAGAATCTACACAGAGGGGAAGTTGAGAGCCGCCCGAAACTTTGTCCAGGCACGATCGTGTCATGAATTATACGAAGGCAACGGGTATGGAAAACCAAGAAAGCTTTTTTGCCATCTTGTACACATGTACCTGGGCATGTAAGAATAGTGAATACATTACACCGGTTGTACAAGATCAGCAAAGCCTTGAGTCTGATATAGAACGTCTGTTCCATAAACACAGCTTTATAACCTCTATGGGAATATCACCTAGTGGGGGATATCACGGTCGTGCTCAATCTGTGCCGAGTATCGATCTATTAGTACAAATCTATACAGGGAATATACCGGCAGAAGGTATAGCTCTATGTAATCAACTCTATTGATTTAGTCCTCAAGGTTGACTCCAGCAGGATTATCCCAGCCCTAGGTTCATAACCGTAGTTTTAAAACCATGCGGACACTAAACCCTTTGGTGTCAACATTGATGAGTTGTAGACCCACTAGGTGTTTCAAACCATTAGTATCAACCTACGTTGGGTTCAAACCCACCGATTTAGTCTGCCAGGCATGAATCTCGACCATCCTTTGCCGCCATTGCGGTTGCTCTTGGGCGTATTTCATGCTCATTACTTAAATCTTATTGGCGGCTACCTTCATGGCCTTGGTGATTGCTTGTTTGTCGCCAAAGAGCATGAAGATTGAATAACTCCCATCCAGCCGCGCCGTGCGAAAACATTGTCCGACCCTAGTTCTGCGAAAGTTCCGGCTATATAACGTCGCATGCTCGGTGACTTCGTATCGACTTGCCACACGCTCGACATGGAATGGGTCTGTAGGGTTGATCTCGACAGTCTCCAAACCGATCCATCGACCGCCCTTCCAGGTCCTGAATGTGATTGTACTAGGAGGTCTTCTACGGTTTTTGGAGATATTAGCGGATGTCGATTCCACAGTCGCTGGAGTTTGGTTGTCGAACATTACGCCTATCGGGGCGCCAGGATAGGAAGGAATATCGTCATGCTGCTGGGAAGGCAGGCTTGGATCTGGTATAACTATCTTCCGCTTGTGGTTTACAGCTGCAGGGCGATTGTCGACTGCTGATGAGGTTGCCTCTTCCCCGCCATCGAATAAGTCCTCTGCAGTTCTTGTCTGGGTGAAGTCATCTACGGTCTCTTCTGGTGCGCGTCTTGCATTTTCCACTCTTTGTTTGGCCTTTTGTCGAGTGAGAGCGTCCTCGGCAGCTCTGATGGCTGAGGCAATCTGGAGTTCTTGCTCAACGGAGTTTGTCTGAGTCGGATCCCTCTCTGATGTTTGGAAAATCCCGGCCACTTGTCTCTCCGACATAATTTCCGTTACGGGTCCAACTTCATGACTCTCAACATGGCTCTCCGCAATTAGCTGCGTAGGAGACGCGATCACATCTTCCTCGACTGCATCGGAGACTTCCAAGTTCCAGCCTAGTTGATCAGCGATAGCTGCATCTCGGCCACCCGCACGATTGAGATCCCTTTGTGTTTGCCTGGGTTTTAAACTTGGTTTTTCAACTCTCACATGCTGCGCTCTCGGTTTGGCCTCGACGCCGGGCAAGGCAGGTTGATCAGGTTCGGGCGGACTATTTGATTCGCGTAATCTTGCAATGAAGTTCGGTAGGCTATTTTCAATATCGATCTCGGTAATAGGTCGAGACGCGGCACCCGCACCCTGGAGGGGTGCGGAGTGGATACTGATATCGTGCTGAACGGCGGTCTCCATTTCCGTGGGAGCTGTGGAAATACCCTGCAACGAATTTTCATTCCTCTGAGGGCTTGATATTGTATGGACAGCCTCGAAGGCATCCTCCTGTCTTTCAAGATAGACTTGTCTAGGTTCAGCGATTTCACTATCCCTTTCATTTCTGATGTCTCGAGTTTCCTGGACATTTGCAGCGACAGCCGTTTCTTCAGCCGCAATTGAAAGACATTCCTCAACGACAACTGTGGCAGTCTCCTCACTTACCAGTCCAGGTCCTTCCGAAATTGTAGTCCCTGCAATTTCAGTCGCCCGCCACCGCGGGTGTGATGGCTCAGCGTCCCCAACTTCGTGCAGAATGTGTACTAGCCTTCCAGTACGCTCGTCTTGATCGCCATAATCTCGTCGAACTTCCATCTCCGTATTCTCAGGATCAACCAAGTTAGTCCGAGACTCCGAATTTGGGTCGGCAGTTTCGAACCTATCAGCCTGGGGTAGGAATAATGGTGACATACTGGGCCGCAGATGGCGAGAGCCTTCGGACGAATGAACTGTGGCGGGACAGGTGAAGAGATGAGCTGGTAGTCTACCAAAAAATGCGAAATATACACATCGCCTTACGTAGAAGGTTGATATCGTTTCGGTAACGGGCGCTTCAGCCGTGTGAAGATGGTCGAGGAAAAGGAGACGACGGTCAGATTCTTGTACTTCGTTCGAAGGGAGTCCACACCGGGCTTTCAGATCTGCAGCGGATTTCACAAGAGGGCGGGGAGTCCATGAATTCTCTCGAAGTCGAGCTTTTGAGAAACATTCTACGATGCGCTGAACTAGCCCAAGGTATTCATCCGCGTTGTACTCGTAGAGATCTGGCTTTCGAGCAGTAAGCAGTGCGTCCTGCGCAATCAGAGCATCGGGCGATCGACCCATCAATGTTGTAATGTTAGTGGACCGAAAGCCCAGTTTATAAGCGAGGACGACCATGTCATAAATCACAGCCTCGTCAGCCTTTTCATTGCTCGCTTTCGCCAGGCGGTTCGGTTTTGTTGGATCCCTCGGCATTTTTGGGTAATGGCGCATAGCATATAGCCAGATCTGTCGATAAGCAAGCTCTCTATACGTTCCATGGCTCATAGAGCGCATATCAAAAGTGGACTCAGAGGTCTGAATGGCAAACCCTTCTCCCGCGGACAATGCAGGCGCGCGATGATATTTAAAAGCTTTTTGCATCGTTGGATGACTTTTACTTGGCCTAATAAGTCTCTTCAACGCATCACCGCATGATTTGAGATAGTCAATATCTTTAAAGAAAGTGCGCAATGACGGGATGATGCCATCGTAGCAACGTAGCCATTCCCACATGCGGTTTCGTTCGGCTACGCTGAACTCGCGAAGTATCTCTCCGCTTGCTAACCACCCTTGGACCTTTCTGGCATCCAAATGTGATGCTCCAGGAGCCATCAATTCAAGAGTTCTGACGGTGTGAACATCAATCTTCATCATCGCTTCGACATCGGGATTGGATAGGTTAGGGCTCACTAGCAAAACCCAAAATTTCTTCAAATGCGAAGAAAGATAATGGACAATTTCCTGCAATCATTAGCCTGAGCCAAGAACGCCAAGTATAAGACTACCTCATCGCAGTTCAAAGCCATCAATTTGCCAAGGTTCCCTAAGCTCATCCCGCTCCAAAGCCCAGGAATACCCAAGATGGCATCAAAAGACGAGCAAAGTTCGGCATTATCGGAGAGTTGACGAAGCCGTCGTGCCTTTTCCTCAGTGAGACGTGCCCACCACCGTTTCTGAAATGGAGCATTGTGCTCCTGTTGATATTGACGGATTTTGCGATATATTTCGCCGTCGCTAGGCTGTCTCTCATTGCTATACTCATCAATAAGAGCAGACCGTAACTCTAAGCTAATATCTGTTATCTTCGTCAACCAGGCAAGTTTCAGGGATGTATAGACAGACCATACCTTCCAGATAAAGGTCAACTGTCCACCACCGATCATCTGGAGGAAGAATCTCAGCGGCAGCTTGAATGCGATGCTGACCATGTAAGCAATTGACTTGACTCTCAGAGAATTGGAGGTGAGGCATTTGATTGGGATCGGACGTGAACAAATCTGTGTCGGTTGCGCCTGCCGCCTCGAGTGCCATACGGAGATGTCGCTGCGAAACAACAGCTGTGACATGGTTCTGTATTTCGAAGCGACGGCAGCCTTCCTGCAGAAATATTTCGCGGAGCCGGACAATATTCTGCTGCTCCAGAGGACGCGATAGATTGGAGTTGAACCGTATATCACTGAAGTCAATCTTGGCAGTACCTTTATATCTATCGCTTCGCTCGATTCCCAGTCGAAGTTCGGTATCCGTGAATTGAGATTCCATGATCAAGAGATTGGCAAACAGGAGACTACTAGATCTTTTAGTCCTTCGGTTGAGACCCACCCGTATTTATATACTTTGACCACTTCCGACCAGATCGGATCACGAACTGGATCGGTTTTTAGTGATTAAGAACCGGACCGTCTCATTACACATCCTCTAGAAAACCTTACGGTTTCAAATAGCGACGAGTATATAACACAGTTCATAGACACCCAGACTCAGAAATGACTGATAGATTACTCCTTGCTCAATTCCACAAATTCTTCATGCTATGTCATGAATCATCCCCGGCTTGACAAACGCTTAACTAAAATAGAAGTGGCTGAAAATGGGATCCAGTCACCGTCGCAATCTCCTCCAAGAGATGCCCAAGTCAGCCTTCTCAAAAAACGAAAGCAATCCCCAATACGTGAAACCGACCGACTTGTCTCTAGTGCTCTGCAGAAGCACGTCGAATATTCACAGGGTATCAACCTGCAGACTCATCCTGTCTCATCAGTCAGAATTACAAATAAATCTCCATGGGATACGTACGCCAAGGTATTTAACTGTGAACTCGCTGGGGATGTTGTAATTGTGGTACATCGCACCGAGCCGTCGGAGGTCTACGCCCTGAGGCCCTATCGTGAAGCTATTGGTGCCAAAGTCCTACATCGTCTGACTCAGCTCCAACACAAAAATATACTGTCTGCAAAGGAATGTTTCTGTACAGAAGAGTCTATGTACGCCCTGTGTCAGGACTTTCCTCTGACCCTTGAGGATATTATCACTTGTGATGCGTACTTGGACGAAATTCAATTATCTGCCATTCTGACACAGGTATCTCTTCCGGCTACCCACTTACGTGTGGTTGACTAATTCCGTAGGTACTTGAAGGCTTATCATATCTGACATCGGAGGGGCTTGAGCACCGATCTTTAGAATGTTCAAACATCCTCATGAATGTCGATGGTACCGTGAAGATAGGTTAGACAGGGCGTCATCATCTATCAGGCACATAGCTAACGGCCATTCCAGGATGTCTGGAGGACATTCACAAACTCGACGACAGTCAAAGCCAAACCTTTACAGGCGTGAGAACCTTGACCATGGAACTTATGGAGAAAAAATACGAAGAGAATGGTGCCGCTGGGGTGAGAGACCTACAACGGTGGCCGATGGACTCCGATGCTGTTGAGTTCCTGGCGGTAACTACATCGGCGAGCTCTGTGGATGAACTGATCAAGGTAAGGCTCACTGTATTTTTTTGACAATGCCTAATCGCTTATAATCCAGCAGCAACCACTCATTCAGAAGCATCAGAATTCCAGACAAACGCTAATCGGCATCGCTCGATTTGCTCTGGTTACTACGACAACCTTTTACTCTTATCCATAATTGTCGCTTCACTCGATCGTTCACGCACTACATAGAATCATATTTCCGTCTCCCAGACTGGGTGATTTCGTCTCGATTTGTACAAGCATAATACACAAGCTCAAAAATGATACAATGATTTCATTAGTTTACAGCATAGCGCGTGAACCTAGCTAAAATCAATCTAATTTCGAAGGATACTCTATTATAGGTTGTATGCTATAAGTATTATCATTCTAGACTTGCAGAAAAATGTGTGAAATAGGTGACGTTCTCGAGATGAAGTCTAGAACCAAAGCTCCAAACAGACATTTTCTAATCGGCTAACTCTTCACAACGCTGCCTCCATTTCTTGCATGAAACAGATGATAAAGACACATCTAGTCTATTTCGATAAGGAGAATCCCAGACTGGCTTCAGGCTTTGTCTACCCACAAAGCTGTTACTCAGTTTGAGTACGGAACAAGCCCATCCACGATTTGAATCGGCACAATCGATGTGAACGGCGGAATCGATGTGGATCGGCGCAATCGATCTGATCCGTTCATGTTCATCACTTGAGGCCCACGGCATCCTTGTGTAAGATTCACGTTAGCAGTAAAGTTTTCCATTAATATTCATCCATATCGCGAAAATCTTGTCAATCTGAGGTCGCTAGGACCACCATAGACGGTGCTACATTATCACTTTGGATGATGACTGTTACAGCCGCATGTACAATTGTAAAGAATCGGTTCAAGTGCTCACAATAGACACTAATCAAACAAATCTGGGATAGAAGTAACTGGGACATTACCATCAACTCGATTCTGCATTCTCTGTCTACCATTCATGATCAGCATGTAGCATGTCGTTATGCGAGTTCTTTTCCACTTCTGAGCTGTGATCTCCTTGAAGTCAAAAACCAGCCATGAGCTCCGGTAATATCCATAGGTCCGAAGAAGTCAGCGGCCGCACGTTTTCTAAGTTGGCGTCTATTGCCAGGCGAAAAAGGTCGTCCAATCTTTCGAATCAAAACTCAAATATTCTAGATCTACATAGTTCTGCAGGTCTGTTTCATTTGTGATTCGCTAGGTCATAATTAGTGATATACCACTAGCAGAAATTTATGCCCTATGGGCGCCCATGCACATGACTTGATGGTTATTGTTTCAGCTTCAGTAGCGACTTTGTGAACCGCTCTCAACTCATTTTCATGCATGAATGGTGGCCATTTTTTATTCGCGACCTTCTGTGACCGACCTATCAAATCGTATCGATTCAGAGTCGACATCATTGAGACCCAGTGTTTCTTCCACATGTCCAAGGGCTGAAGTTCTTCCAGTGCGAGGATTAAAGCTTGGCAAAGGTCGCTCCTGGAAGGATTCTGTATCATCTCTCTCCCAACTCGGCACTCTGCTGGGACCGTCTCGATTCCAATGCCGTTCATATTGTCTTCGCTCTTGTTTCCGTTGGCGACGCCTTACGTGGCGTTCTTGGTTCGGTTGCCGTTGCTTTATCTGCCCGGCATCTTCCCTGGCATGAAAACTTCGCACTGAATCAGAAAGGATCGACGATCTGCATTGTCTAAACCCCCTATCTTGGCTACTATCTGGCACAAAAAGAGGAGATTGGGGAGTAATTTCGTCGCGCCAAACACGTGGTGTTACAGAAGTCTTTCCGAAAAAGGCAAAATAGACGCATTGTCTCACATAAAATGCAGAGACCACGTTGTCTGCTGCTATTTCTGTGTGAATCTGGTCAAGGAAGAGAAAGTTTTGCTCCTCCTCGTGATCCTCAAGACGAGGTTTTCCGCATCTAGTACGCAGTGGTACAGTTCGTGGGGCAAAGTGACGGCGTTCTGGCTGGCTGTTGACAGGGACAGCTTCATCAAAACATTCGGTAATGCGGGTAACGAGAGCTTCGAGCGTCTCGTAGCGGTAGCAAATTGGTTCTCTAGCTTTCAACAGTGCTGCACGAGCTAGATGTCGATCTGGGGATTGCTGTAGAATCTGGTCAATCAGGGGTGATGCAAAACCTAGACGGGTAGCAAGGTTTGCCATATTATGAATGATGCGTTCGTCCGCATCCTCGCATCTGGCTGCTGCGAGGAGATCATTGCTCTCAGAAGCCTTCGGCATCTTGGGGTAATGTCTCATTGCAAACAACCACAGTTGTCGGTATCCAAAATCTCGGCGGTCATGCACAGTTCCCAAGCAGCGTCGAAAACTCGTCTCCGAATCCTGAATGACGTAGGACTCATCACAATCCTCTCCCTGGTAGGACGCTTTCATTGCCGAGCAGATTGTGAAGCCAAGTTTGGGAAGAACCACTAGTCGTTTCATACAGTTCGCGCAAGCCTCCAGATATGACATGTCTTTGAAAAAGCTGTGAAGCGAAGGTATCAACTCATATTTACGATGTAGGACACTCCATATGGATCTGCGTTCGGATGCGCTGAAGCACCGAACACCTGGCCGCTCAGCACCAGGCCTTGGACTACTTTACGGTCGCCTGGCGAAATTCCGGGAGCCAAAAGTTGAAGTCTTTCCACTGTCACACTGTCGATCTTATTCATTTGAGTCTCGTCATCATGTACGAGCGAAGACCAGAAGTTCTTCACAAAGTGTAGGTAATGGACAATCTCCTATTGAAGTCAGTAGAAGAAAATCAACTTCGCAGTAGCCGCGCACCTCTTCACATTTCAACGCAAGAACCCGGGAAAGATTCCCAATTCTCAAGCCTTTCCACAGGCCAGGAATGGGAAGTAATGCGTCAAAGGCCGAGCGAATGTACGCATGTTCCGGCTGTGAAAGCTGTCGTAGCCGTTTCATTTTAGTTGGGCTTAATCGGTCCCACCACCGTTTTTCAAAACGAGCACTGGCTTCGTACTGGTACTGTCGAATTTTACGATAGATCTCACCGTCACTCGGTGCATTTTCGTTGGAATATTCTTCGGCCAACTCAGTTCGCAGCTCGTCACTGATATCTGCAAGCAATCAGAACTCATGTTCATCCCCACTCCTGTAAACTTACCGTCTGCGTACAAATCCACCGGCCACCACTGATCTGAAGGAGCTAAGTATTCCTTTCCGGCCCTGAGACGGTGCTGTCCTTGAAGGCACTCCAATTGTCCAATAGGAAAGTCAAGCTGGTGATAGCTATCCGAACGATTATTGATTAATGCTTCAATATTAATATGGCTATTGTAGCAGGTGGCCAACAGGTTCTCCTTGGATATCACCGCGACAACATGATTCCGCGGAGAAAGTCGATCACAGCCCTGTCTGTAGAATAAGTCTCGTAAGCCTTGGACTTTGTCTTGATCATATTCCAAGGGTAGTAGTATCTGGTTGATCTTGACTTTCGCTGTTCCCAAATACTTCGCTCGACGCTCCTGATCTGTTCTCCATTCTGACTCGCTGAAAATCACTCGATGCATGCTGTGCAAGTAATATTGTTATGCATGAGCGTAGCTCTTCTCTAAGGCTGGGAAAGCGATGCAGATGAATGATGGTGATATGTATTATATAATATTAGCGCATGGGTTCTGCATACCATTTCATTTTAGAGTACAAGTCGTAGTCTATTTAGTAAGAATCAGAAGCACGACGGAAGTCCGACGTACATGTGGATAGCTATAACATCGAATGGGACTGGCACCAATTGGCACCGACACCAACTGGCACCAACACTGACTGGCACCAACTGAACAAAAACAACACAGTGGGTTCATTTGAATTTACCAGAACACTTCAGCCTTAAACTCACCGTTTCCAAAATTGAAACTCGGAAAATGCGCCAAGTTTTGAATAGGCGATATTTCATACGTCGTATCCTTATGATAAAAGCCCCGGTAATGTCATCTAATATCAGTTGGCCTCTTAAAATTGTCTTCTTCATTTGTAAATGAAAATGATCGACTCTTCCACCGGAAATTGCCTACAAGAGCCTCCACTTTACGTGAGACATGGTTTGTCAGTCTCCTATTACCCAATATCATGTTCTAATGAGGCATCAGACTGGAAACAGATTAAAAATTTCTACGAGTGGCCACTCCTGGAAAAGCTGGCAGAAAGAGGACGCATCAACCAAGCAACCTTGAAGTCCCTTTGCTGCTCCTTATCTTTGAAGCCCTGGATACTCATTATCAGATTCTACTTCTCCGCCGTCAAATCCGACAAGGCTTTGTGGTCACGGAAGAGCAGGAAAAAATTCGCTTACGGGCGTTATGCTAAAGCTTTAAGTAGACTGGAGGATTTGACAGGTAGTTACTTCCAGGTTTTTCTTAGATATACGACTGAGCTTGGTCTGTTCAGATTATCGATTTCCGCCCTCCAGAAACATAATGCTCGAAGCTACACGTCAGAACAGTGTCTCTTGCAGCCTACATTTTCAACGGTCGTTCTATTGCCAGAAAACAAAACTAGATTAAAAAACTTACTACATCAGATACAGTCCTAGAAGTTGTTAAAATTTTTCATGTTGTCCCTTCAAGTTTATTGTGTTTTCTGCCTTCTCTGATCGACCTCGGTGTGTGATCCGTTGGTGTCGGTCTTGTTCAGAAAGGATGGGTGGTCCAACGTGAAAGTACCGTAGCTAATTGTGGAATTGGTATATCAGAGCCTTACACCGCGTACTTACTTGCTTCTGTTTCCTGCATCTAATCTCGTTATTTGATCTAGATGATGAGTAATAATGTAACTTAACGTAATCTAAGGTCATCTGATGATGGGGTAGGTGGCATTTCCAAAGCCACAGCCTCGTCCTGAAACGCGTCCCGAAACATATTCTCTTTCTCTACTAAGGAAATCCTTCTTTGCGGATCCGGCATGTTAATGTAGAACGCCTCATCCTGCCTATAGCAATTTAATTGCACACTGAAGCTTTGCCGGACCAATAATTTATATCATGAACGCAAAGTTTCCACGTCAAAATTTGGGAAACTATCACAGAGATTATTCTGCATGAGTAGCATGCTTATAAATGTAGGATTTATATTGGAGGTGTCCTGGAAAGCACAAACACTATACCTTGGAGAACACCGTTGACGTCTGACAAAGCGGTTTTTTTGTCTAAGGCATTAATAGCGGACCGCCTCGTATTCGTATCAGAACCTGTTGGATTAGCTAAGCTGATTCAACCAATCAGACAGAAGAGATTTGTCAGCCAATAATAGCGAGCCACACACTGATCCACTGAATAAGGGGAAAAAGATATCTTCCACCTGGACTGTACCTAGAGACAAGAACAAGAACAACAAGGATCAAGGATTCCCACATCTTGTGCATACATAATTTGATACGTTGAGATAAACCGCTAGAGATTGTTATATACAATCCAACAGAATCCTCCAAACTGGAGCGTGGAGGATATCGTCTTACAGGTACTACGGAAAGAGGTGGGCGAAGTTTTTGGGAATGTACCGCTCATGCTTGGAGCGAAATATCGAAGGATTACTAGCAGATCTGCAGTGTCTTAGGTGCGGTGCTGGATTTCGCAGAAGCATCTCAAAGGTTTAGTAGCTGTGGGTCAAAGGGCCTACTAGAACGGGATCAAAGGCAAAGGCCAACCACAGGCCCCTAGGCGAGGCATGAAGTTCGCCCGTGAGAACCGCGACGATGACTGTAGTTAGACCTACAAGGATACTGATAGTGATAGTAATCTGCATATCGCTAGCGTAGCGAGAGGTCAGGGTAAATGAAAGCATCCATCCATCCATCCACTGTGTTGTCATGGTATTTGACTATCTTCTATGCAGCATTTTCTTTGCGAGAAAGCCATTCCTATGAACTCGCTCTGTTGCCTCATATATATTCCAATTAGGCCTCTGTCCAATCAGTCTCAACTCGAGATTTTCAAGACCTCCACGTAGCACTAAATGGCCTTTTATGTCCTCCGCTGATTCCCATATACGGGCATGTACTTTTCGTTTGTGAATACGAATTATCAGAAACGCTCTTCGGCATGGTTTGAACACCAATAAACCACCCGTACTGACTACTGGGCCAAATCGGGTAATTTCGTCCTGGTAGTGGAAAACTCGATGGCAAGGAAGACGGAAATTGCCATAAACTCTCCCAGTTTCCCTCTCATGCAATATATAATATCCTGGCTCTATTTCTCTCAAGAAGCATTTTCCAACAAAACCACAAATATGTCCAAGAACTGATTCTTTTCTCTCCCATCTGAACCTCTGCTTGTTCGCATCCCAGAGCCTTAGGAATTTTGACGACTGTACCACGACATCAGAGGCGAAACCATCGATCTGGTAAATATCTGGTCCTGTGACTGTCCAGATATTCGGACTTTGCAATTTAAATTCGAGGCAGCTTTTTGTATCACTGCAAAAGCCTCGGTCCCGGCCATTTTTCAGTATCGTCCGCTGGAATAAAAATAAGCGAGGCCCCAAACTAATCAGGGATATCGTATCTCGTTTTCTCAACAGGAGGTTCCCTGCATCCGTATTTCCGTCGCATGTCCAATGATACAATCGGTTGGTCACATGAATCCCAGATTCACCTACTTTAATGCAGAATCCGTCGCGTTGATACACAGAGCTGTCAAGAGTAATGGCGGGGACACTGGGCGTCCATATGGGTTCACTTCTGTGATCTAACTGCAAGAACCCATTCTGCACGCCGATACTGCATGCCAGGTCCCAACGCCCCTCTGGCAGCAGGGGCGGGGTTTCCTCCCCGGACGTACTTGGCACAGTCCGATTATCACTCTCTGAATAAGGCGGCGGCGGGTCATTGATGCTGTCAATGAAGGGCGAATCTACCAGGAGAAGATTAGACAACGGACAAAGTAATGAAGATACATCAAAGCACCCACGCCTGTCACCGCATATCATAGCGGGCTGACTGAAAGTAGTCGGGGATGTAGCTGATCTAGACACTTAAGCAGTGACGGCAAGGTAGATTTAATGCCCAAATGCTGGGTTACGCCGTGGAATGTTCGATGGCGGGAGTAACGGCAACGATCCAGTAGTAATTATATTAGTAGGACTCTGTAGTCCCTTAAAAAAGCTTCAATAATGCCCCACTCAACAAGGTAAAGTGAACGCTATCATTGACCCACATAGAAACCCGATCCTGACTGGTACAAACGCCAATTGGAAGTGACACCAATTGGAAGTGACACCAACTGGAAGTGACACCAACTGGAGGTGACACCAACTGGAGGTGACACTAACTGGAAGTGACACCAGCTCGAACCAATACTAACTCTATCCGAAATTTAGCCTCGACATCGACATAAAGCCCTCGAACATTTTTCATAACGTTAAGTCCAACTAATGATCCCAGATTACAGCAAGAACTACAGTAATCTAAGTACTTCCATTGTATCAAACAGATGGAGGTTTCCGCAAAATTCGATGATAAGCAATTGGAGGATGAGATTCAGCAACAATTACGAAATGAATGGAGGTATAGTCTTCGAATATGCGCGCTAATACGACGACCGAACACGCTTTTCCCGCCCGCAATCGCCGATTTCGTCAGATATTCATTCCCAGGACAGAACGAAAGTCACCTCAATGAGAGAGAAATAGGCAACATAGGAACGTCATATCAACCCCCTATATATAGCAAATTGTCGGATCGCATCCACAGAAGAATCGAAAATGTGATTGAAAGTCGGAAACATCGTGATCTAGTGTCAAGTATGCCGTGGTCATCTAATGCAACTTCACGGGCAACTAGGATACGTTTAAGCTCGTTACAACCCATGTGGAAGGAGTCTACTTCTCGAAATACAATCACAGAAAAGTACAAAAGACAGCGGTTACGAGGACAGAGATGGGATGAGGTATCCACGAAACTTTCTTATGGTTGTTTGATTTTGGCCGGTGGCCCTTTATACTCACGAGTGTATGGACCTCACAATTGCTAAATTCTGTATCATTAAAGCTTACGCGACGTAGTGAAAACTGGGCATATCCTTGGATGAAGACTGACGACCTCGTCGACTACATTTGCCATTACTATCCAGAAGCCGTGCGAATATTTAATATACTTGACCCGTTCGTTAGGTGTTTGTTGAGCGAGGAGCCTCTTCCTGAAATTGACTCGGACGACATTGCGAATAGAATTGAGGCTTTCCTAAATCGGTGATCAGTACAGGAGTTCTTTGTTAAGAAATATCGGACCTTCCTCATTGGTACTGTCGTTACCGTAATGTTCCCAAAAGTTCTTGGATCCAGGCAAAGGAAACACAGATGTGGCTGGCCATTGTGATTTATACTTTAGATATTACCATTTTATGTACTTATTTTAATCAATTTCGGCAGACTCATTGCATTGATGTCACGTTGTTGTATCTATAAAGATATCTGTGAAATTCGTTTCTCAGCTCGTAACTCTTTCAGAGCGAAGCAAACAGCAATATTCACGATTAAGGAAAACATGCTATTTATTAGCTCCTCTCAGAGAATTTTCTTCCTTTACCCTGCTCCAACGGAGTCTTGAACCATGTGTGTTGCTGAAGACCAAAGGTATACATCAATCCAAGGTACGCCAAATACCATGGATCTTGCGCAATTGCAAGAAATGGATGCTATCGTTTCATTATTAGCAGAGATGATTTTTAACATCGAGGCCTGCAGACCTACAGTCATAACTTCCTGAAACGTCACATCGGATGGTAAGAGTGTAAAGTCCTCTGCCAAGTGGAAGGACATGGTGTCCTTCTCCGAGCTTGTCGACAAGTCTAGGAGATCTGCTGCAAGATTATACACTGATTGAATATCATGGGCCGTGCCCTGGTTTTCTTCTTTCGCCAGCATGCTATTGCCAACGTCTCCTGCAGAACACAAACCCGGTCAGTGAACGAATTTCCAATCTAGGCCGATCGCCTACCTATTTTGACTTGACCATCCTCGTTCACGTAAACACAGTCCGAATCCAAGTGTCCGTGGTGAAGTCCCAACTCTTCTTGCATATAAATCAACCCTTTCAGGACCTTGAATCATTTAGCCCAAGTTGGTAAGACGTGGCAATGGACCAACCTCTTTACAGATAGTGGCGACAGCAATTCGGTCAAAAGTGACGTCGTCCATGTCCTGGAGTTCTCTCAGAGACAACCCGGACTTCTCGTAGGTGAAATAGACGGTCTCCTGGTTGATAAACACGTCCGTCAGATTAACCAAGTTAGGGTGGCACGTTTTATGCAACACCTTTCGTCGCCTATCGATATCGGGAACCACTACCCGTTTGACGAAGGCGATCGGGCGAGAGATACAGCCCATTTCGATGCCATAAAAGCCTCTTGGGCTCTTTTTACCAAAGTTGACAAACACCCGGTCCAACCGAGACGCAGGTAGACCTTCAGGAGCTGTGAGCTCTAAACAGCCCTTTTTAACGCTGCCAGGATCAGACAATTCGCAGTTTTCCAGACTTGATGTTTTGTCACAGGGAACCGTCTCCGATTTCGATCCCTTGATGTCAGTAAGTGGTACAAAAGTAGTTCTTTCGCTCATTCTGTGTATGCAGTCCGATTCTAGGCCGTAGGTATCTTGTAGGAAAATTCGGATCGTATCAGGTGAGAAAGAGAGGAAGCGAAGCTCCTTGATTATATATCACGCAAGTCGATAGATGACGCTATGCATAGTCGAGTTTCTGCTTCTGATTGTGGCCGAAGCACCGGCAGACAGATTGGTACCCCCGAACGGATCGGATTCGCCTCTAACCAAATCGTATTGTATCAAATGATGTGATCGTACCGATCGTGAATTCAGCAAATCATAGGGGAACCATTCCAATAGGTAACACGTATGCAAAATACATTCAAAAGAATACTATTCTGCGAGTATGCTACTCCACTCAATCGCTTCTATACTGTGGAACTATTTTTGATTGGCGTCTAGTAAGATCGTAAAATCCTTTGTATACTTCAATTCGAATCTGATAATTCGCTCTAAATCAACATCTCAAAGGTGCCCATAGGCTGTAATAGGTTCCGTGTAACTTTTCGATAGTTATCAAAGCCAACCATGAGCATACAGAGACAATGGTGGCTCGAAGTCAGTCGCACTTGTGTCTCTCGATGGCCTGGTAGCTGCATCACTGCTGATTCAAATGGGACGACCTAGAAGAAAGTTTAGTGAATGCAATCTGTGGCTGAGGATGACATCAGGAGATCTTACTTCATCTGCATCACCGTAAAAAGAAATGAACTGGTAGTCCTCAACCTGTTCACGGAATTCATCAAGCCTTGGAAGAAGCTGCGGATTATAAGAGCTTGGTTTTTTACGATTCCATGCCGCGGGGATGAAAGCGTTCAACCAACGTGAGGAGGATTGACGATTCAATGTATGAGGTGTCCCAAAGAACAAGATACCACGCCTTGTACATTTAACATCTGTTGCTCTGTGTCATAGCCTGTAGAATTAACTTACGTGGCGTTTTTGATCGCAGACCAATCACTTCTTTGCGTAGCATTCACCAAGGCCTAAAGCGCATCACTTTGGTCAGTAGTATTCTAATTAGGGCACAATCGTTGAACGTACTTGCTTGATAAGAAAACCTCCAAGACCGTGGCCGATAAGAATGATTGGGCTCTGCTGGTGTGGTTGTCAGTAGCCGTGTCTTTTGAGCAACAGCGCAAAGAAGCCACCTACAACATTCGTTCTGGCGGTGCTGATTTGACGTATCAAGTCATCCCCCTGGTAGATACATCCAGGGAGTCATATTCGTAAAGAAATAGCCTCGCTTTTATGTTGTTCTCACGAAGGAATACACTGAGCCAAACCTCCCCTGCCGGTTCGCACCACGAAGAGCCTGCGCATGTCCCTGTTGCGTCCGCATAGTCAAGCCCATGGACTGCAATGATACTAAGAAAAGTCAACACTTTCGAAATTAACCGAACATAAATTCATACTCAAGAACAACTTCGTCTCTAAGCTGCGAGCCGATGGCGGGATAAATTTGCACAAGAGACTAGAGCATCAAGTTAGCTAAGCAATCAACCAAGTTGTGTGACATTCATGAGCTCACCATTTTGATTTCAGGATGGCGCTAGGTAGATGAGGAATTTGTAAGTTTTAAGAAGAATCAGAATATCCACGGGCGGATGTCACATATACAGATTGGTGGATCAGTTCATCACGTGAGTATTGTCTCTTGTTGGAACTCAGAATGAGCTAAACCAATTTTGGAATAGGACAAGATTTGCGTATCAAGAAATTTCGAGAATTGGCATCACATTCCGACGCGATATTGAACATTACAAATCAACTTTACAGCCTATCTCTAGAAAGTTCGATTTGCACAAGTGTCTACTTTTGGTGATATCACTTCTATGGAATCTTGTATATAAAAACAGGTTCAATACTCCTAGATAGTGGTTTTAGAGGAGTGCCGGAAAATAGACCTAGCTCCATATACGTATTGTTTAGTGCTCGCCTTCGCTTAGTCATCGCTCTAGTAAACCAACGTTCCGACATCTCTTATCGGAACTTGCAGTGCACTAGCACAAACTCAGTTAAGCTTAATACTCAAAGATATCTTTATAGTGGAAATATTGATATTGACCTTATTCTGCCCACTCTTCTATCTACATCTTGAGGGGATTGTTGGACACTATTTATGCTTGAGAATCCCATCCACGCAATCTCAAATAGAAGATTCTCGACACAGAGCTGTAAAGTTGATTCGTAGATTCAATCTTGTGACTTCAATTCTCGAATTTTCCTTGTATCAATGTTGTAGGCTTTCCTTGATTAGGTTTAGCTTACCTAATCCTCGACATCTCTTCAGACGATAACTCGAACGACTCTCGATATTATAACACGCTTCTAGTTTTAGAAAAGCCAGCAGGATGACGTGGCAGCTAGAGAGGCGCAGCTGCTCTCTAGGTGGGTTGTGCCATGCGAGGACACATATGAAAAAAGAGGAGCCCTCATTGCTTCATTCGCCTCATACTTATTCTGCTGCTCGGCACTGGTCTCTACTAATCCTCGAAGCTATATTTACATTCATTTTTATGGTATCGACACCAGGTAACACAGCCGGATGGTTAGCATTGATTGCTGAAATCATCAGTACTCTGGAATCCATGACGTTTCAGCAATCGTCTGGCATTGAAGTGCTAGCTACTATGCTGAGCTCGGGATATATGAAATGAACTATACAACTATCTCTCAACTATTAAATTCCATATCATGCACAATAAAGGTCAAAGGAAACGGATTTATGTAAGGATAAAATGATCCATAGAGTTGTGCATAGTTTCGAGTTTTCATATGTAGTGTCGAACTCTACTACCTCGAAGCGATCTGAGTGGCCAGCGCCTCTAAAACAGTGCTTCTAGAAATCAGTCAATGAAAACAGATATCTCGTCCGTTCTTCGTATTTCGTTGACAGAAATCTGATTGCGATTGTTGTCATTCGGTCGTCGAATTTGGCGGCTACCATCTACATTGATTTTCCAAAATGGACTTAGTGCCGGTCTCACACACGACGGCGCTGTGGGAGCCCACATTTCATGCTCACTGCGAAGTTGGAAGCTCTTCGCATTTCTCGTGAAGAATAGCATCTCTATCAGAGGTATGATCGTCGGGATACAGGCGGCGATAATGACTGCATTTGACTCCGCACTGAAATATGTCAGCAACAATGTCCATGGCGATCCAATAGAAGTCATTACTTTGTCCAGATTACAAGCTCTGAGGTGCTGTCTGGACATATAGTCAGCACAGTAGAGCCTCTTGCATCTTGTTTACTCACAAGTAGAATCGGATTCGTCTGCTAATCCTGGAATATGAGTGCATTTTACAACTGCGACAACAGCAGCACTGACAAGTTAGCACGGCGTTGCGTCCATTGTTCCGGTGACTCACCAAGCGCCCAGTGCAAAGGCCACCAGAAGCAAAACCTTCCTTCTTAGGGGCAGCTGCAACCGCCACAAGATTGCGGCAGGGTAGATAGCAAGAAAGATATCGATAACAGCCGAGAGCGCTAGAGGCCGTCAGATATTTTTCGATATTTCTGGCGATAGCCTATCTACGTACCGCCTGCAAAGATCGAATAGTCGACCAGGATGCTTGGGTTCCAACAGTTTCCCACCCCCGTCCACAAAGCCTTGGTTGGATTACACTGTGCATATATGATGACGATGCAACCGCAAATCAATAAACCGCCTCCCCCGACGAATGACCAGATAAAGATTTTCCAGCGCTGCGTTGGGTTAAAGATTCGGCACAGAAGGGCGACCACTCCCAATTTTGGGATAACAAAGGACAGGATCCCAGGGGCAAATCCGGCCGTGTTCAAAAGTGCTGCCCGTTCGAACGCATGAGGTGTTAGCGAGTCAGCATGTCGACCGTCTCCGGCTCTGACGGAAGCGGTCGTAAGGCTCACGAAAAGAAGGCCAAGAAGCTGGAATTATCAGACTTGTAAGAGCAGATGTCATGAAGTGCAGTCTTACAATTGACAAGGAGATCAGATAATCGTCTAGACCCAGACTTCTCACTATTTTGGCACGCGTATACAATCTAGCGCCGACAAAGATTGTTGCTATTGATGTGGTGCTCCACATTGCAACAAGGATGACCGTCCCTCTGTCCTGTGTTGGGTCCTGTGCCATGATGTATGATTGAATTAGAACTTATCAATCATGGATGGCAGAAACATCTTGCTCAAGATATATAAAGTACACACTTGTTAGGTTCGGATTGCGTCGATCCGCTAGATCAATCGGGTCGTTCGTTGCAGCTTCGAGGCACAATTCACACGGAGATGGTATTGAGGTTGTAGAGAGTCAAAGGCTATCAATGGTACTGATTCGATGAGTTTTCGATTTAAATCGTTGTACCTCGAACCGGTGTCAGTTGGGCCCACTTTTGTGACCTGGTACGCCCTGGTACGACCGGGTATAAAAGGGAGCGATGCGAGCGTGGTGTGAGAACCGTCAACTCAGTCGATCGTAATCACTTTCGATTAGCAAGAGAAATCGTATTGCCTACTTCATCACCATGGCACAAGACCATTTTGACCACACATCCCAACTGGATGGAGTCGCAATCCAGGCTGGTGATGGGCCCAGCGTAAAATCATTGATTGGGGAGATGATATCTTATAGTGATTCTCCTGGCAATGAGCGTCACCGTCTCTCTTTGCTTCGATTGGCTCGGGCTCTTGTGCAGGCCCTAGAGACCCCTCGAGAGACAGTTCTCAGACTGTGCTGGGCGGAGGTGAGGTGCGCATCCCTAAATGAGACCAAGCGTCTAACCAATATTTCAGCCGACATTGTACGGAGCGATCATCACCGCTATCGATTGTGGTATCTTTTCGACGATGGGAAAGAACCCCGATAGCCCGATCTCCGTCATTCAACTCTCCGAAGCTACTCAGACCGATCCAGCATTACTTGGTTCGTGACCTGTCCAAAGACCGCGGGGTACCAGCCAGTTAATATTCTTTCAGGTCGAATCATGAAGCACTTAGCCGCCATGGGCGTGGTCCAGGAGCGCGCAGTGGATGTATATTTCCCCACCAGCTTGTCTTTGACGCTGGCTCTCCCCAAGTATGCGGACGGCTTTACTTGCATGTAAGTCGCTTCGCGATCTTCATCGCTTTTTCCGTATTGCGACTAATTTTGTCTAGGGCGGAAGGAGCAATGAGAGCAATCTACAAGCTTCCCGCGTATTTCCAGTCTGTCGGGTACCGCAACCCAGATGACGCGACAGCAGGACCTTTCCAGTTTGCGTATGGAACCTCCCAGCACTGGTTCTCATGGGCGTCCGATCATCCGGCGGTATGCCAGCAATTCAACAACCATATGAGCGCGTACCATCAGGGGCGCCCGAGCTGGATGGACCTCGATTTCTACCCGGTTGAAGAGGCACTCTTAACCGGAGCAAAGTCTGACTCGGATGCGGTCCTGCTGGTGGACGTTGGTGGCGGCCTTGGTCACGATCTTGCAGAGTTCCACCGCAAGCATCCATTTGCCCCGGGAAGATTGATCGTCCAAGACAAGGGCGACGTTATCCAGCCAATTTCTGGGAATCTGGGAAAGGTAGAAGCGATGGCTCATGACTTCTTTACGGAACAACCCATCAAAGGTTTGACACCAATTCGATCACTTCTACAGCTGCGGGATCTAACTGTTCCAGGTGCCAGGGCATACTACCTACATTCCGTCCTACACGATTGGCCCGACCACGAATGCCATTTGATCCTGAAGCGGATCGCAGCAGCCATGACTCCTGGATACAGCAAGTTGCTAATTAACGAGAATGTCGTCCCTGACCTCGGGGCCGACTGGCAGATCACCGGTCTGGACCTTATGCTCATGACCCTGGTTTCCGCTCGCGAGCGGAGGGAGAATGAATGGCGCCAGCTACTGGAAATGGCCGGGTTTCGGATTGTTAACATCTGGAGTCATGTCAATGGAGTAGAGAGTCTGATCGAGTGTCAACTAGCTTGAGCTAGTCAGAAACTATTGGTAAAGATATAGCAACTATTCACACGTACATTGATCACGTCGGATGGAAGTCCGAGTGCGGCGGTGTATATTCATAATTCTTGCTGAATTTCGATCCTCTATACTGTGACGAGATCCTAAATTCCCATGGCCTAACATCTGCTTGTTTTTGGTCTGTCTGGCCACGCATCCATCGGATTCGTAAGCGATAGAATCCGCCATGAACACATTCTGAACTTTCTGTATCCATTCTAGTCCAACCTAGTTACTCGCGTTGTGACTCAGAGGAATTCGTATATAATGATTGATAAACTCTATGCAATTCAGCACCGCCAAGCAGAAAGTAGAAGGTCATCATTGCACATACCGTTTCTCTGTCCACTTTCTCAGCTGCTACAAGCGATTCGTAGACATCAAGAGATGGAGCAGAGGTCTAGCCACTTTTTAGTGTAAACCTTCGTCCTGTCGACTGTGCGGAGGATCATTAGAGTTCTGGTTCGAGATATGGCTTAGCCCTTTCTAGTAATGGGGTTTCCCTTTACGGCAACGTCCGCTTATTAGATTAGACTACACGCAGATTTTAGCCCCACTGACGGTGGGTTTACGAAGCAACTACGGAATACCTGCGGAAAGACAGCGTTAAAGAAAAATGGCAAATTTTTAGATGTTGTGGGTCGGATAGTTCAATTGTCACGATCTGGATCCATAATGTGGGTATGTACAGCAGTAAAGCATGTGTGGAGGTAAGCTAGCCGCCATGCAGTCGATCCGAGCTATGACCGAAGTGTCCGGGTCCTCCAAACCCCTGTGAGAACGCCCACCGTGATGAAGATAATGCATGCGTTTAAATTTGTCCGATCGTGCCTCAGAGCACATCCTATCACCGTGGCTAGCGAACAATGATTCACTACGGTAGGCTCCCACCACTGGTCTGTTTATTCACATTAGTTTGATCTCAAGAGACCGTAACAATCCAGACGTACTGTAGATGATCCAACATAGCCACGTTACGACTGATACAAGTATTCCGCCGCCGGCCAGTGCCATGTGGTAAATTGCTCGCATTGTGATGCTGCTATTCATCATGATTCCGTTACTATAGTGCCTTGTGACCAAAGAACCAGCGTCGGACTTAAATGGAATCAACTCGGTGTGGAATTCAAAGGATGGTATCGAAATCAATAGACTCAATGGTAGTGATCCGTCTGCGACCGAATGTGTTCTCAATATATACGCCGGCGGGCTACAGCGAGCACCATTCGGTGCGAAGCAATTTATTAAGTCCCACATCGATCCATCTGATACCGATCCAACTCGTACCGATCCAACTGGCAACAGTCCGACTGCTGCCGATTCCATTTGAAATCGGCCCTACCTGTATAGTGTCATTGATTGACGTCCAGTTCCCTTCATAATTGGTGAGTGATCAATTGGATCCTTGATATATAAAGATTTGATGCAAAGTCGATTGTCTCTATAACCTTCCCAGCTCGTTGATCACGGTACCTAAAATCTCCAAGCAATAACGTCGGTGACTGTCCGTGTGAAATCTTAACTGGATCATTTCAAATGGATCTCAATACAACCCAAAACTCGGTGGAGCCCGGCCAGGTGAGACGGTGCTGAATTCTATACGCGCTTCTTACCATACTGATTTTTTACCCCCAGCTTGCTGTCCAATTGGCTGAACATCTAAAGAGCCTGATACTGTTGGATGCGGCAGAGTTCCAGAAGACGATAGCTCACGTGCAACAAATCTTGCCATTCGACATTCGAGCCCACAAAACGGAGCAGAGTATAGAAATAAAAATTGAGGATATTACTCCGGTGGACAACCGGATGTCTCTGCAAAATCTAGTACATGGTCTGTGAAAACCAATTCACCTTTTGAGCGCAGCTAATTCAAGGATAGGATTAACTGATAGCTCTGACGGCGTCCCAAAGTTAATGGACAAAGGATATGATTCGGATACGACCGAAGAGCTTCCCTACACCCCCGCGGAATTGGAGGGCGATACGTTTCTACCAACATATCCAGGAAGATACGATTTGGAAATGTTTGACGCTATTGAATGGACAAGTTGGGTGAATGATGATATTTTGTATGTCCTCGATGGAGAGCCTTAGAGATTGCGGATTATTAGAGATATCTCCTTGGATCGATAGAGGTCGTAGCAGCGAGATAAATGCGATTCATATTTATTATGACAATGAAAAGACTGCGAAATTGTACAGTATCAAAGAAATTTTCAGTACAGTAACGTAATAACATTTATACGGAAAAAGAATAAAAAATAATGATAGAACCCCTTCCATATGACTTGACTTCCCATACCCTTGATGACTGTTGCGTATGCGTGACTGCATGAACTCTAGAGCATCGTTATTCCTACTGCTGCAGCAAATGTCACAGCGGAGAATATTAACCCGATCAAGCCCAGCGTGCTAGCATCACCATTCTCGGCTGATATGTAAGAGTTGCTCGCAAGCTTATTTTTGATTCCTGTCTGCACCACAAACAGAACAACAGTCGAAATCAAGAACGGCACCATCAAGCATGTTATTCCCAGCGGGGCCATGATAGCTCTGCGCCAGAGCTCATTTGGAAACTCCCAAAAGAGTAAGATTAGTGAAAATGCTAGAAGAAGCACAATTCCAGCCATAAGTGACCGGCGGACGGTTTTTAAGATGGTCGTTACCAAAGAATCCTCGATCTCTTGAAGTTGCTGAAGTGGGTCCCCGAGAATATCATCAAAGGCACTGGGAATCATTGATGATATATTTAATGGAAGGAGGTAGCAATTCCTGGTTTCATTTTCCCACCCAAGACAAAGTTTCTCAAGTCCTAGGGACATATTTTTGGGTACCGTTGCAGCGACTTCTGACTGAATGGCAGCGGCAGCGTCCGTCGCGATGGTCCACAGCTCCGAGCGTACGGTACTCTGGGCTGCCTGGACTTCCGAGGCTGCACTCCCAACAACAGGCGGTAAGCTTGATAAAATAGGTTGAACATCAGTGAACGTGACGCTTGGGATGTCGACCAGATCTTGGCTACGGTCGTAAAGGTACTGCGTCGGCAGGAGGGTTGAAAAGTTGAACTTGACCAGATCAGCATTTATATCTACAGGCGCTTTGAAACCTACTTTGAGAAAGGAGAGCCCGGTCTCTGCCAGTCTTGAGTCTAGGAGCATCGAAAGAGCCAAAGCAAGAGATACCATTCCACCCAAGGCAAAGGTTGTCCATAAACCGCTGATCAGCCATCGATGGGCAGGTGATGAGAAGTTGGATAATAGTGCCATATTGTCTTATTATTCGAGAATGTTATTTCAGCAGGGGCCCATGTTACGTTTAAATATCTGCGGGCAATACTGTAAGCATTTACTACCTACACAACTTGGAGATAACGGAGAATGCTAGCTTTACACCATGCCAATTAGTACTTTGCGAAAGACTATAGAATAGAAGTAGTTAAGCTTTTCCCAAGCTACTCTGTGACTGGCGCCACCAGATTGAGTCAATTCTATTGACGAAATCATCACTTTGTCGAGATGCATGAGATCAGCGTGTCATCCAGACAACCGTCGTTTTCGTGATAACCACAGTGCTAGTCCAAAGCGAGGTGGGGGGCACTGTAGTGATCCGCTCAGATGGTGCATCAGAAGACATGGAATGATCCACCAGTATAGCTGAAGTACTTGGAGTTGATACAACGGGCACTGTTGCCGTAATTAAAGTCGTCGGAGCCAGGGCGATAGGCGTTGAAATCCATAATATTGAAAGAGGCGACGTGCTTGTCGTATACGATGTCGATAAAAATGAACTTGACCTAGGCGCAGGGAAACTGGATGCAGACGAAATGGATGTGGACGAGATAGATGTGGACGAGATGGATGTGGACGAGATGGATGTGGACGAGATGGATGTGGACGAGATGGATGTAGACGAAATGGATGTAGACATAGATGTAGATGTGCTTAGCGTAATCGAAGAATTTTCGCGACGTCCACAAGCACTAAGGCCCAGAATGGGACAGGGCCCAAAGTTGAATGCCAATGGCTGCCCTACAAAAAACAGCACTAGAAATACTTTCATCATTGCTACTCTAAAATTATTGAGCTGCATCTTAGTGGATCGATTCTAGTATATGCAAGGGGTGGGCAGATGTTTATATATCTACTTATACGTTAGGTGACTAAACTGAAGTTGTGCTGAAGTTGTGCTCCAACACCCATTCTCATTGCCCACTATTGATATTATGATTCGAGAACAAACAAAAAACTCGTTCCAAATGGAGTTGGCAATAGATCAAAGTATGTTTGGGGAAAGGAGTCATAATATGTAGCCTCTAGCTTAGAAGACATCCCATCGGAGTCGGAAAACTAGGGGCGATTGATGAGCTCGCCACTGAGCTAGATTGCTGTTTCGTGGATCCTGCTGCCTGGCGTAATTCCCCATAGCTCCAAATATCGTTCCTCGCATTGACGCAATCGCGAATTCGTTTCGATCAATGCTCCCCGAAGGACTGACATGGCTTCGAAGGTCTTTTCTTGAAGCTGCAGGAGTACCTGCCGTGTTTCTTGGTGCCAGGCGAGTTCAGCCTTGAGGTAGCTATTTTCATAAGCTAGCTCCTCCAATTCATCTCTCACACTCATGGACCTGCGATTTTTCGACTGTTGAAGTCGCGAGGGAAGCCGCTCAAGAGTGGACGTCGAGCCACCTGCATGGAGAATATGGTGATCAACAGGTGTTACCTCCTCTATTGGATATAGACGATGCGGCTTGGAGTGGTTCATCTTTTTGTACTAATTCAGTAAGGCTACTGAAAAAATGGGGTAAAAGAGCTATAGATATAATGAAGATTATAGGAAGAAAGTGATCAGGAAGCAGCAGAACCGAGTTTGAATTGTGTTAGAGTGTGTTGGCAATCGATGAAAAAATGTTCTCTACTTAATTATGATGATGCGTGTTCCCATACGATGACACCTCACCAGCGCGATTTGGATCGAGGGTGGTAGTGGCTTCTGAATCGGTGTCATCATCTGGGGAGTACGGGCTCTGTACATTCTGCAGCAAACACAAAGCGGCCCGCACCTGAGCTTCCTGATATCGTAGTTGATCGCGAAGCCCGTCTATCGTATACTGTTGTTTCCCATGCTCCACAAACAGTCGTTCCAACCCGAATATATCCACGTCCCTTCCCTTTGACAGTATCTGCAGCAAAGACCTGTTCATGAAACAGATGTGGATATATCGGGACTCCAGCTCTGCTTTCTCCTGATTCAGCTCCTGCCAGCTTGTCAAGAGAACTTTGTGCTGGTCTTCCAATTGGATTACGTGCATTTCGAGTTCCTGACGCGCATCTCGGATCTGCACCAGCTGAGATTGGTGCTCGGCGCAGCGCTCACGACACCGCTGAAGGTTTGCCCGAACCTTGTCCAAGCGCAGCTCCAAACGAGTAATGTACGCTGGGCTATATTCCATTGTGTCCCGGGTTACTCCAGGTTGTGTATCGTGTTGGTGTTCACTAGTCCCCTGGGAGTGGCAAAGGTAAGCTACAGAGCTCTGACTCGACGGTCAACGGGAGACTTACCGGCATTTCGATCAACCTGGTCCGTTGCAGCAGCGAATATTCTTGACCTGATTGCCAGCATACCCTAGCTGAGAACATTTAACAGCTACTGCCATTATATAGCTGGAGCCATCTTGTTTCCGAAGTGCACCACTCGGTTCTGAGTATATTCGGGCGGAGCTGTATCGGACGGATCTCACCCAGTTGGATATCGCTTCAACTGGGAGCACTTCCATTAATAGATTCTACGTGACCTCGTTGTTCAGCATTACTTCCATTTGAAGTTTATGAGGGCTTGAGTGCTTGCCTGAAATGGTATAGCAAGAAGACAACCTCACTTAGGGTCGAAGTGGGCACACTCCAGAATGTGAAGTACTAGTGGCCAATCAAGCGTTGTTAAAAAAGCCAACGAGATGAGCGATGTCACCTCACATGACCTGTTGACAGGGGTTAACCACGGTACCGGGCCGAGCCGTCGCAAATATTATCCAATTAAATGATAGCGGTTCCTGAGCCCGCAGATCCCCTTGCCAATCATGAACGGGGTCCCTCTCTAAAGTTCGAGAGCCCAAGCTGACTACATTGCGAAGTGCCCTACCTTGGTTTAAAAGCATCTGGATCCTACCTCGATCCATTCTTTTTGAGCGAGCCATTCTATTCTTTGCTTCCTCATGCCCTTTTATATGATATATGGCTATGACTTCTCATAATCAGTCCCCTTCGGACATGTTTGTTGAGTTGGATTCGGAGTGGATGCAGAAGCTGTTTGAGGGTCAAGCGGACGCGCGGTGTTTTAATGAAATTCACGAGGTCTTTCAGCAACCACTTGCCCAGTGCACAGGCAGTGGCTGGGGCACAGGAGAGATCAGGGCGGGGTTGTCTGAGCCGCCAGACGATGCGACCATTACAGAGCAAGATGAAGTGGTCGACCAGTCCCTAGTGATCCAAGCCCTAACGGAGCGGGTGGCATCGTTGGAGTCTCAAGTCAGGTAAAAACCTCTTCATACTTAGTCATTACCTTGATCTCAAACAATTTAGGACGCAGCTCGGTGTGATGATGGCAATGCTACACGAGAACACGGAAGAGACGGATGCCTGGTGCCAAAAGATCCTCGAAGCAATCAAAGTATTGTCGCAGCGGAAGGAACAACCACCGGATACGGATCCTCGTCGAAGACATGGGCCTCGAACGCGTCGAGAGACACGATTATCCCATAAACGCTGACCAACGTGTGAACGTCTGATCTGCAAATGCTTGGAAAGCGGAACGGTGCTAGGATCTGATACCAATTTATTTTGTCCGAATAAAACTTGTTTCATAATGTCTTTCGAGAGACGATCTATCGCATTGTAACACTGTCTGCTTTGTAGGCCTAAACGACACATTTGAATCGTGCCTTTTGTTTTTAGCTGGTCCGTTCACGATCTATATCGAGACAAACCTCTCCAATCGCCATTTCCCCGAAGCGGCAGGTATGAAATGATGCCGTTGGATCGATTCAAGTGTTTGCAGTAGATTCCACCGTTGGCCGCTGTGTTCATCATACGAAGAATGAGTCAGACAAAATCAAACGAACTAGCAAAGATATATTTTCACCAGTGCATAGTACTATGAAACCAACCAGGCAGTTAGTAAATTCAATTTCTTATTTATTTATAAGGGATCGTGTTTCCAGCCAACACTTAAATGTACAGCAATCGTGATAACATGGCACGGATGCAGGGCGGACGTTGGTTGGATGTAGCCGCAAGTGGCACTTCCTTTTCCATTCAGGAACACGCGGCGCTATGCCGCTTAATGGAGAAAATGCCCAATCCGGCTACGCAGTACCCTCGAGTGTGGGCCTTTCTCGGCTCCGATCGGAAAAATGAATGCTTGCAAGCGATCTTTGCCGAGAACACTTTCGTTAGGGCGGATTCCTACACGACAATTCGTCTGAGGGGAGATGCAGCGAGCTTGCACTCCAAATCCCCCATTTTCTTTGCTGATGGGGATCCATGGGATGATTCTACGGTCAGTTACTCGAAAGTCGCCAGGCGAGGAAGCATCTTTCCGATTGAGTGGAGCGGGAGCACCACTGCTGCTGAGGTTCATCGCAGCCTGTACTCTCAAGTCCTCTTCCTCTTCGCCGATGTTGTGTGTCTGTTCCTAGAGGACTGTCGCCCCGGATATGACATAACGAAACTCATCGGGAACCACGAGTCGGTTAATGGCCTCCCAGCCAAGACTCGTCCGCGTCTGATCATCATTGTGGGAGACCCTGAAAAGACTAATTGGTCCAGTGCCGTTGACTACAGCCAACATTCGGGAAATTTCTCGGAAATAAGCATATTTCCCATGACGGGTGGAGAGCGTGTTCCCGACCCGGACTATGACCGGCTCAAGGTGTTGTTGCTGATGCACTCGCAGGAAATTCAAACCCTCCGTCAAGATTACATTGGGCGAGTATCTACGACGGAATTGGAAAGGTATTTGCATTTTGCAATTAAACACCTCGCTAAGTCTAATGAACATTCGTTCGACTTCGTGCGCTCGTGCCGTGCGCCGAAGGAGATACCTCCAGACATCGGAGAAAAAGTCAACCGTGTCTACGAACTTTGTGTCGCTTCAGGACTATCCGACTTTGATAGTGCGCGATTTATTGCGTCCGCGCTGATTATGGACCATTATCGTCCTGAAATGCCCCGTAAGCTCCCATCTTCGATGTGAGCGTTAAAGAACTGACACAAGTGGTCTAGTGATGGATCCCCGGCTAGTGTACCAAACATTCTATCGCGCTGATATTTCTCATTCATTCTCCACTAATCTATCTTCGCCAATGAAATGGGTGGACTTAGTGGAAGACGCAATGCTAATTGAATTTGCTCCCCTTCGCAGCGACGCCGTAACAGCTCTAGAACTGCGGAAAAAATTTTTGATTTCCCAAAAGGGTCACTACTCTGCGGTGAAATCAAATCGCGCATGTCTGTATTGTGTGGTTCGGGCGGCGCAGCATTTCACTCCATGCGACCACCCGCTGTGTGATCTTTGCGCTCAGAAATTTGGACATCCAGCCGCAGATAAGGAACACCACTACGATGTGGATCGGTGTTTGCTGTGCTGTGCCACGATTTCGATGGCCATCGAGACATTGCCTCCCACGATGGATCCCACCGTGCTCGCGATTGACGGCGGCGGGACCCGCGGAGCAATACCTCTTGAATTCCTCATTTTAATCCAGGAGTATCTCGGCCCATGTCGATTACAAGATCTTATTGATCTGGACGTTGGAACGAGCTCAGGCGGGCTCATTGACCTCGGTTTGCACGCATTGGATTTGCCCGTCTCGGTGTGCGCAGAGATCTTCAGCCAACTGGCTCGATGCATATTCCAAAAGCGGCGTCCACCCGCTTTCCCTTGGTTGCCCCGTACGGTCATGTTGCGCTTGCGCCAGTGGTACTCATGGTGGAGACATGACAGTTGTTACGATGGCTCGATTTTTGGTGAGGTACTCCAGCACCTTTATGGAGATCAGCCTGTTTTCCGAAGTATCAGCGCTGGCCCGTCTGGAACTATCCGGTCTAGTACAAAGTTCGGAGTAGTAGCAACCAGTATTGGCACGAAGACCGAAGCTGTGATGATTGGTAACTTTAACGCGGCGGATAGCACGGCAGATGATTGCGGTAAGCCAAGTGCACTCCGTTCACCGTGTACAGCGCTAATGCTACTGCAGGCTACCGACTTATTCGACCTGGCAACATTGAGCATGAACCTAAGGTGTGCGAAGCGTACGTGAGCCCCCTTCGCGTTTACAGGAATATACTGAATCCAGCACAGAGCTTATGCAACCGCCGCGGCGCCATTGTAAGTCAATGTAGGGAGTCTTGTGGACGCTGCTGATACTTACAGTATTTTCCCCCCCATTGATCTGTCCGTGGGAACCTTCCAGGATGGGGGTCTGACAGATAATTTTGCCGGAGGGATCGCTCGCCGGACAGTTCGACTGATCTGGCCCTCCTGTCGCGAACCAGCTCGATTGCTATCGCTTGGTACGGGTAGTACGCCACCACCATCCGGAGGTAGTTTGCCCCATTTTCGAAATTCATTTCTGGATGGATTTCCCCGCCGCGCTTTCAGTGCGTGGATGAAGTGTCTGGAACCGGAAGGTAAGTGGAAAGAAATGAAGAGCCAACTCGATGAGTCCATTTCCCAGAACTTCCGCCGATTGAATGTTCCCTTGGAAGAGACCTCGTCAGCCTTGGACAACGTCGAAATGATCGATCGCTACCGAGACCTCGTCTTGCGTTACCCTGGAAGTGCCACGATGGCGAAAGATGCCGCGTTGGATCTCCTCACTGCCCGGTTCTTTTTTGAGCTTGATGCTTGCCCTTCGGTTGATCAATCACCCTTCAGGCTCTACGGTACCATCCGTTGTAAAGGGTCTGCTCGCCTTCTTGTGGCGGCAATGGAGCGGTTGGCCCCACACCCATTAGAGTTTGTCACTGATCAACATCGTCTCGGTTGGTTGGTTCCTGACCGGGATATCTGCCCTTCCTGTAACCGCTTCTGCTGGCCCGTGTCTTTACTCTGCCGCAACAGCGACCAGTTGCTTCACATCTACATCAAATCCGGCCGGGAGAAAAGATGGAACCTGAATTCATTCCCTACCACTGCGGCTAAGCTGGTGTGTCGGCAACAGCTGGATGTGCCCTTTGGGAGAATCGATCATGGGCAGCCTAGTAGACAGCCATGCGCGGCATGTGAGTGTGGCCGCCTTCCTTTTCGAGGTCGACGAAGAAGACGTAATCTGGACTCTGCGGGTCAGGAGTGGAGAAAGAAGAGGGTTCGCGTGCAGTGACCTCAAAGTGTGTGCTGGGTTCGTAAAGAGTACGCGGAGTGTTGGACCTACTTCAAACGGTCCTGTTTTACGTCATTTGAGTAATATCATTGCTTCCCCTCTACCCCTCCAGACTGATATCCTGCACTTGAAAAACCAACAGAACTACCTCGCTAGAACATAATTTATTGAATTTGAATTGCGCATTGAGATTCAATCGTATACGATGGCTGGCACCGAACCGTCCCGCGAAAGGACGAAGTATCTGAAAAGAAAACAAACCTTACTGAAGAAAATCTGGGAGCTTTCCACTTTCTGCGATGTGGAAGTGCATGTTAGGTTCATGCATGCTCTGGAGACTATCATCATCGATTCCACCGATGACGCCCACTGGCCGTCTGAAGACGAAATGGAGGTATGTTTGCTACCAACCGGATCGTGGACTTCAGTTGACACGCTCTCAGGAAACGGAAGATCGCCCTATCCATCGCTACAACCTAGAATCACTTGGACAGTACCTACGGGACAAGGAGGCCGAGGCTTTTCCACTTGAGCAGGACGAGATTCAACTTCCTGAACCACCTCGACTCCGGCGATTGTGGTGATATTTCTGATACGTTGTGACTCGGCTGATGTGAGCTCAATGACTTCTGCGGTGGTTTCTTGGCGGGGGATTTATCATATTCAGTCTTTGCACATCCTTTACTTTTCTGTCCTGTCTCCATTCACACCTTTGTCATGTCACAAACCCAGACGATATTGGTCCTGCTTGCGATGGTTTTTTCGCAGATATATCCTCAATTCCTCGGCGGTGCAACGGTTTTCCTCCTTACATTCCGAATGTGTGATATAATCTTCTGTTATTTAAATCGATACTTCGGCATCCGGTTCTGAATAAAACCTTTTTGGTGGACTTTTTATGCATACCAAATTCAATTACAGAGATGTGCGGTTCCTCCTTCACCATGGGAAAACGGTTCCTTTAACACGATTCAGGCGAGTCCTTGAGCAGTCAAATTAAACCTCCTTCGTCTTGTCGTTCTTCTGGTCTGCAGGCTCATCTTTGAAACTCATATGTTTGTCATATCACTTGGATTTGGAGACTGGGTCTTGTGCGGATGCTATTCGCTACAGTTATTGTCATTTTTTGAAGTCGATGAATTTTCCGGATGCTTGATTTACAAATGTGCCTGTGGTAGACGGCCATCTTCCGGTACCTTGGGTTAATATCGAGATCGTAATTAGTTACAACATCTTGGCCTACATCAAAGCTACCTGCGTAGACACCCAACTGATTACGCCATACTTGAAAACCGCTTAAGGAGGCCTCGTTCTACTATATGTATCAAGCCCCTGGAACCTATAATATATGTTTGCTTCTAAACGTTGATGATTTTACCTGACATACTTTTAAGAATTTCGGCCTTCATTACAACTGATGTCTTGAAACAATACCAATACATACTTGATAAGCGATACACTCAACTCTTTCGAGAAAGAATTGGAAAATACGCTCGAAGTGATTGATAGATACATTTGATATACTTCATACTAGAGATGATGTCATTGACCAGGCACTTTTCAACAGATTACTAAGATCCTCGTGATCGAGAACAATGGAGATACACTAATGCACATGCATAGAATACCAATGATTGCGCTCTACTTCTCCTTTTCGCCTTGCTGATGCTTTTCTACCTATAATTTCATGTCAGGCATCAACTGCTTGGCCAAGCTTTGCGGTAGAATATTATCTCACTTCGAAAGAACGCTAACCTCAACATTTTCCCAACTGTCTAGACTTTCCGCAGTCTGAAATATATCAGCCTCTTTATGACTGTATAAATTGCTAAACTATGATAATAGCAAACTTAGTGATAGATTCGTAGAGTTCGCTTTAGCTTGAAAAGCCCGCACAGCGTCCAAGCAGCATTCAACATCTTCCTTCCGTTTCGCCAAATATTGAAGTGTAACTTTCCGATCGATTTCTTCGAGATGCTTTTCAAGTGCAGTTGTCGTCTCAGATATGCGGCACTTTATACCTTCCATAGATTCCCCTTGTTGTTGTAATCTCACTACATCGTTCAACATCTCCAACGTCATAGATTCTGACATTGAAAGGTTTGGCTTTTTTTTTTAAAATTCGTCAATGCGCGTTTGTAGAAAACTGTCCATCTTCAAAGGCTACTATAACGATTCTATTAGCATAGTAATCGAAAGGATATGGTCGCTTACCGTTGAATCAATGGTGTCATAAATTGCGTGGAAGGCAATGTGCTATTGAATTAAAAGAGGTGTGGGTTCGCTTCTGCACATGTGCATACAAATAGCTTAGTAACCAATTGGTAAAGTCATATTCTTCTAATTGTCTGTCTCTTGTTCAAGATATCTGACACTGACGTGTAAGGGATTCCTTGTGTAGCCTTAGTCACGTGATGTTATCACGTGACGTCAACTATCCAGATCTCGACTGCACCCTCGCATCCAACAAGAGGGGTCTCAATCGCGGATCCATTCAGATTTAAATCGACCACGCACGGGCCCATAAATTGAAGTGTGATAGCGCGTTTTTGGTAAGTAATTAAACCGCGAATCATGATCTTTTTCACCCCACTTAACACGCCGCCAACCCTTCACTAGGTAGCAGTAAGCAGCGGCAAGAGGCACACTAATCCGCCATTACGGTGGACCTTCTTATGAATAAAAGCGAGTTACATCTCGAGTATTTGACTGCTAAAATTTGAATAGGCGCTAAAGCCTGTGATTCGCCGATTAAGCACTTGCAAAGAAACCCCTTGAGTTAAAATACCACAAGGCTCAACTCGTGATTTTGAGAACAACTATTAACTTACAGAAAAGCTATTAGCTAAAGATAGCAATGGGTTCATGGTAGCAAATTCGTGGCACTGCAACACTCGTGGACCATTGGACTGACCCATGTTACTTTACAGCCGGCTTTCCAACCCTTTTTCCTACGTCCCTCCCCACCCAAAACCTCCGTACGCGTAGCAAAGGCCGCGAAAATCTTTTCAGTAGCTGCCAGCGGCAAGCTAATACGACTTTCGCTATGTAGCTACCTCTCAGGAAAGCGAGTTGATCTGTGACTTGTGCCCAAATTTTAGTTTGAGTAAGTGCAGTAATATGATTGTATATCACATGTGAGTAGTAGTTGATTGAAGCTATCGTACTTGCTTCACCACCGTGCCTTGTATATGTGACGGCTGGGCATGGCTCTGCGTTCCCGTCTCAGTTCACGGATAGGGCTAGGAGCCGTGTAACCCTATCCGCGCCGTATTGGGAAGTGATATCAACATCAGACGTCAGAACTGGATAGGGAAAGGCGCCTTGCACAGAGATTTACATGAGAAGCGAGAACCAGACCTTTACTTCATTTCTTCCTTTTTCCCCTTTATGCTTAATATTACCTGTCGACAAGCAGCTCTTGTATGAGATAGTTAGCTAGAATAGCGTACTCAAACTAAGCAGATTGGCACCGTCACAGTATAGTCGTAGTCCTATACTACTGGTGTTTTATTCGCAAGGGTTCTGGCTTATGTTTGCTTCCATAATTTCTTTGGTTGCAGCAGCGTATGCTATTTTAGTCCTAGCGGTAAGTGACATGTACAGATAAAATTGACAAAGGTCTTTTGGAATACCTATTGTTACTCCGGGGCTTTCCTGGAAGGTTAGGGTGAAACATGTGTAAACAATTGAAGTGAGTAAAGCGCACACCAGTTTTGCAACCAAGTGTATATCACAATGCAGTAGAATTTTTAATTCTTTTCCGGTATTTAATACATTTTGAAGTACTTATACCAATTATGGTGAACTTTAACTGAAGTGAGTGAAAGTGCAATCCACTGCTACGATCGAATTCGATTCGCACAAGTGCTAGAGGATAAAGGAGTATAATTTCTGAAAGATCTTGAAATAAAGAGTGAATGGTTTTCGGTGTGGATCAGGAAACAGAAAAGATAAGAAAATAAAGTGCCAGCCCGCCCACTGTGGTTGATTGATGGCGCAAAGGGGTAACAAGATCTTGCCCATTGTGTAATTCTCCCCTCTTTTCGTATTCGCCCTCAGAATTGAGCTCATAGAAAGAAAGCAACAAAGGCCACCACTATCACGGAGTACAGCTTGTCCAGTGCGAGCGGCACTGAGTTGCTCCCGGATGTGGTTGGAGGGGTTTCTTGGGGCAATGAGATTGACATGGGACTGGCAGTTCCCACCGGTAAGCTCGAGGGAGTAGACAGCAGAGACGTCTGATTGTAGACGATGGATTTGGTAGCAACATAGACCGTGTGCGGTATCTCGTGGAGAGAACTACTTGGGTTGCCGTACGACGAACCAGTTACTTTGAGTGACAACTGACCCAAAGCTGCACGTCTTATGGGGTGATCTGCATGGCTTCAAATGCTCAGAATAGGCTCGAACTAGTTATGGGAAGCCGATATACCTAAAAGCCAAACATGCCATGATCCAGAGAGGGATTGAATGAAAGAGTCTCATAATGGGCACCAGCAAGTCCAAATCTTGACGGTCAATTCTTAGATGAGCATGGAGTGAGACAATCTCTCACAGGTTATGTAGTTTTTCTGGTGCTTCCCGAAAAGTAGTTAGTTCTTGCGTCAGTAGCGGAGGTTTAAGGGAGATGGGCCTTAATTACCTCACTTAGTACCAGTGTTTTGATAAGATATATTCCAGATAGATCGAATCAAGAGCTCATTGCCAGACACTATTTGTACGATTGTGAATTCGGACGATGGCAGCTAACGTCGATTCTAATGGAACTGGAATCGAGCCGGACAATAAAGTATAGTCATCCAATCCTGCCAATTGTCACAGTGGATTGGCAGTCGTTTTGATATTTACAGAGGTGTCATCGATTCGACGTGCTCATGGATGTGACCATCTATGTACCAAATCGTGTCGCCGATCCGGTGCGTGGTATCTCGAATCAGTCCGTGACGGGAGAATCCGAAACTAGACTATCAATGAGCTCTGTAGCACATAAATGAGCTTTGTATCCGTAAAGGCCATGTTGAACTGAGACATAGTCTTGACTCTCAAAGAAAATGACGACTTTTCATTTAGAAGCGCCGATTCGGCGTATCGATCCACCTCAACGAGCGGCAACCGATATCACCATACGAACTCGATACATGATCATGCTTCTTGAATACGATCGAGGAATACCATTCAGCCACACATGCATGGCGGCCGTCTCTCAGTGGACATTGCTGGCCGGTTACCTCGTCGTTCCGGGCACGTTCACCTCCCTTCAGCGGTTAAACGAGTTCAGCGGGGCATCAGCTACCGTCGTTCGGGCAATTCAGAACCCTCCATTGCTCGCAATCGCCTGCATATGTTTCTTCGCCGGTGCCTCTGCAATGTCATGGCTCGCGTGGAGATGGAGATTCAACGATATCTGGCTTTCCCACCTCTTCCGGTGAGTGAAACACGCCCACTGACATGACTCTTAATAATGAGGGCAGGCCCACGCTTCTCAATGCACTGGCCGGTTTGCTGACTACGTTGGTCAACATCTACTCGGCGCAAGATGGTGACTGGTCCATCATGGCACTCTTGACCGTTATCCTCACTGCTACGGTGATGGTTGTGTCGGGAACCTTGACCGCATATTTTTACTTTTTTAAGCTAGCCGAGATAAAAAAGGAGCATGAGGCAGACATGATTCTGGAGTCTCGCCTACGGTGGCGAAGGGAGTTGGAGTTACAGTCGTGACGGAGAGGTGTTAACCATTCCATCCGTCGGTGTAGGTTGTTGTACTAACTGAATCGACCAGAATCAGATTGAACCGTCTCTTCATCACCAGGATCTGTTTGAATGGTAGACGTAGGCAGTATCTTTGAGAATTACCTATATAAGCCTGCAATTCCCCATGCGCTCTTTTATAAAACAACTATTGTGTAAATTCATCTGTTAAGGAGCTAGCAAGCAACAATGGACAAGACAAAGGACACACCGGATCATGTACTGACAGATGTCGTCCCGGAATCAGGGGGTGGTGCAGATGCGATGATGATTGGCGCTCAGGATGACAGTGTCGCTGGGTCTGAAAACATTCCCTCAGAAATGACGTTGAGTGTGCCTAAATACTCCCAGCCGGACTCGAACGACGTATCCGGCAGCAGGTCTCTGGAGTACCCAGCGATCAAAAATTCAGGTACTGATGCTAGCCCTATCTCCCATACTGTCTCGGGGCCAACGCCGGATGAACCACCGACAGTTGTTCCTCATACTATTCAGGCCTCTCCCGGAATTGCATTGCGCGGCAGCGCTTCAGGTGTTCCCCGAGCAAAAGCTCCGACGACCAAGAATGGCTCTGCCCCCAGAGAAACTCTAGGCTCTGTAGGGAGTATGTCCGCGGAAGAATTGACCAAGCTCATTGAATCGTACTGTGACCCGACTCGATGGGCTAGCGACGAGTCTCGGAAGGATTGGAAGATGTATGAGACTGAAGAGGATGGCTTTGAAGACAATGCTTTTGGCGACGAAGACCCGGATGACATGGGAGATGGAAATCACAGAAAATTTCTGTATCATAGAGAGACCGTAGGACTCTTGAAATTACTGTCCGATACTGCTTCTGCACAGCCTCACCTAGGGAACCTTGTTGAGAAGGTTCGACAATGGATGCCAAAGGGACTACTACTCAGTTCGAGACAGTTGCTCGCTGCGATCCATCCGGATAGATTCCAGAATCCTGAAATGAAGAGACAAGCGCACGCAGCTTTTACTGGTATGACGGAGCCCGTCGTTTAAAAATTGAGTCCTAACTGAATCACCTAGCTATCCAGGATGAATTGAAACGAGACCCCAGCGAGAAATTCAAGGGTCTCAACCAATCCGACGATATACCGATGGATTTCCTCGAGGAGTATCACGAGAAAGCTCATGTCCAGGCAACTCCGCATTTGTCAAGACTGTATGAAGCTTTTGAAAATGGCCAAATCATGGACAAGGACAGTCCGCATCTTACGGACACCGTGAGAGCCGCATATCGGGAAATTGACTTGATCAACACATCGATCGAGGATCAAAATGCGAAGATCCGAAACGAGCCGGAGTTTGGTATGATCTATCCCGAACAGATCATACATTGTTGGAGACTTCATAAAGAATCGCATGACCCTTCCATGTTGTGGAAACTTTGTGAAGCACGCCACTATCCAATGGGCTGGACACATGAGCCTCCTCGTGAGGATTTTTCCTACGATCTTGACCGCGGCCAGTACTGGACGTCAATGCAAGATCAGATCACCACTGTCCTCAGGAAGTATTGGGATCACTCCTTGCAGAACCTTTCCACCAGCGACATTTCCAATGAAATCGTAACACAGATCCTGAAGACGAAGGCGGACTACGAATCTCAAATGATTTCATTCAACCAGTCTCATGAGCGACCGGATCGGCTTAATATCGTCAACGTTGCGGATATCATGGCTCATTATTGTGGTTTGAAGGCCTTCTCTAAGCAGACGATGGCCGAACAGTTCACGAATCTCAAGGCTCACTTGGATCGCTATTTGGCATCAAATGATCTGCCTCAGACGTGGTCACCCAGTCAGCCCATGGGAAGTCCAAATACGACGTCAGCGCTTCAGGTCAAACAGCTTGGCAACGGCAAAGCAGTGATCAAGTCCATGCCACATACCGTCGATTGTACCGTGAAACCGGGTTATACAACATCCGGCGAGAAGATCATTGCGATGCAAAAGATTGGGGCCTACAGCGCCAGGTTTGTCACGGAGAGCGAAGATGGATCCCGTAGAATCGTAGATAGTGGGCAAGCCGGTGGCAAACTCGCCATGGAAGGCGCCTCAAAAGCTGGAGTGCCGTTTACGACAACATCCTACGGTGACATTGCTGAGATCAAAGCGGCACTGCATCGCGGTGAATCGTGGGGTTTGACATATGTCGCGGTATCGCAGTGGGATACTACCAGAGTCAATGCAAATGGAGAGACAAAGCTGCCGTACACCGTTGCAGGTATTTCCCTCAAGGGGTCGGAATTTCACGTCTCCAAGTCTGTCTTGACCTTCCTGGTTGGTGCAAGCGCGGCTGAAAAGAATATTGTCCGATGCCTGGGAGGTGATGAGGATAATGGCCTGTCTGAGACGTTGAAGAGCAGGCTGCAGCTGGAAGATTTCCCACACTTGCTGCAGAGTGGAGCACCACGTTCACTCTCCTCTCAACAATCACTCATGATCCAACAGAGTTCTGTCAGTCAAGAAGTTTCAAAGCTGCGACAGGACGTAGATGGTCTTCTTGTATTGAGACGTGAAATGGAGAAGCTCACCGCCGCGGTTACCCAGCTCGTACGACGTATGCACATTTGAGGATAGAGCCATGGATTGTGGTACGAAAGTTGTTGATTCGAGCTCCTGTTCTTTTAGATTGATCTGGCACGCACCCAACATCAATTATATGTTTTCTTTTTCTGTTTAGCTTGTCAATTTGAGAAAAGATTGTATATAGTCGCTTACAGCACCTCTGTTCTGTTAGTCCTAGAATGCGAGATTTTTATTTGTCGCAGGTTGTGACACCGAGTCGCTGATTAAATGAGAATACCCCGAAACTAACTTGGGAGGTAGCAGGCGTCGGATGTTGTGCTTCGTGACCGGCTGCTGCACGAAACTTAAAGTAGGATACAGTTTTATAGCATTCGCAGTCAGTTGCTGGCTGTGTCGCCGAACCGATACTGGCACCAAGTCGTTGGCAACAGGTAGTACAAGCGCAAGCTCGTCCATTACACGAAGTAAGATATGCAATACCCAAGTCTCTGATCGCGGCGTTTACTTGTTCGTCCAATTCGACTTCCTCTCCTGTCTTACAGGTTTCGTTTCCAAGTATTCAATATGTTTGTCTAGAAATATGAGTTAGTCATGTTTGAGAAATTGGTAATACAAGACTGTTTACCTAGGTTCAGATCGACAGAATCAGCATACTGTTCAAGTCTAGCAATAGTTTTCGTTATTCGTCCAGACGGGATAGGTAGCTTATTTGATTCCTCATGATCGTTTTGTAGAGGCCTAGCTTTGATCCGATTCGAGTGATCAGTGATATTTGAAAGGACGGCTTCTGCAATATAAGCGCCTTTACTGTAAACATTTACGGGTATGTATGAGACAATGCCGGTTCAAGTTTGACGACTTTAGACCACTAATCAGCAACCACGCGACTTAGCTGGACCAGACGGTTGATGCTCACGCTATGGAAGTCCTTGCCACAACCTTCATAGTCACACAAAAAGGGCCTTTCACCCGTATGAGTCCTCAAGTGAAGTATTAGAGCACTGCGCTGGATGAAGCGTTTGTTGCAGTTAGGCTCCGTGCAATGGTGTGGGCGGTCATTCGTATGGATACGACGGTGTCTGTTGAGATCGTACTTATGTCTAAGTGACTAGTCAATATTGGTGAGAACATGCTGTATTCATTAAAAGAAAACGTTGAATATTGGCTGTATCTACCTTCCCGCATTGATCACAGAACCACCTGCGGCTCAAGAGCCGTTGTTCCGCTATTTGCTTAGGGTCATGTATGCGGCGATGCTGCCTCAAGCCTGATGACTTTAGACTGTTGATCAGTAACCACGAGTCTTAGTCAGACTGAAAACTTGATACTCACATCTGAGAAGGCCTTGCCGCAATCTTTATAGTCACACACAAAGGGCTTTTCACCGGTATGAACTCTCAAGTGAACTGTTAGAGAACATTTCTGGGCGAAGCTCTTGTTGCAGTTAGGTTCCGTACAATGATATGGGCGCTTGTTCGTATGGATACGGTAGTGTCGTTCCAAGTCGGCCTTGAGTCCAAAAGACTAGTCAATGTTAGTGAAAACAACCTCTTCACGAAAGAATGTTGAATATGGGCCGTATCTACCTTCCCGCACTGCTCCCATGAACATTCATAGAAAGTTGTCGCAGACTTGGGTGAAGGAAGAACTGAGAGGCGCTCATTATGTGAAGCGGAGGAAGTTGAGGATATGCTTTCAAGGGTCGAGGCTGAAGGAATCTGAAAAGAGTGAGTCCTTAGATTTTCCTTTTCATGTATCTTCTTCTGATCGCTTGCTGGATTTATTGGTGAATCGGTCGTTAGGATAAATGCCAAAGGACTGCAATCGGTATCGACGGTACTTTCACAGGTCGAGGCTGAAGGTCTCATGAAAGGGACAGATTCTGGGTTCTTCGAAGGATCGCTGATCATGTATGGATCGAAATGCACGCCCTTCGGCATCATGTCTGCAACTGGGGGACATAGGAGTCGCGTCTCTGTCGAAGGTGGCACCGACTTTGAAACCTGATCATGATCATGCTCCGGATAGCTGCGTCCATGCCGTATCGGCAAGGTGTAAGACTTCCCCACTCTGGAGTCTTGTGTGCTAATCCAAGTACGATCTTCGTATCCCATTAGAGTTGATGGGAAAGCACCACCCTCTATATAGTCCGGTAGAAAATTGGTACCAGAAATGCTTTTATGGATCGAGGCTGAAGGACTCTGAAAAGAATGAGTCCTTGGAGATTCTGAGAAAAGTTGTGGACCCTCTGAAGGATTGCTGATCTGATACTCTTGACGATGTTTTAACGCTCGCAATAGCGTAGCAATGGACTGCAATGGTTCCTCGGATTTGACTTGGTGCTTAACAGCCAGTATTGGCACCATTCCATAAAACTGGCTCTGCAATTGGAACATGTCTTGAAAGTAAGAGATAGCCGATGCCAGGGATTCCTCAAAATCCCCAGCTGTCCACTGTGACCTCTTTTGGATGGTTTGTAGATCTTTTGCAAGCTTTGATGGCGGATTATGAAAAGTGGCGATACTTAGTATTTGATGAAGTACTTTGAAACTTGTTGGAGTCATTTCATTTATGTGAAAAGCGTGAACGAGAAGAATAAGATCTCCTCCTGCACCAGCTGTAGGGAACCACAATGGGCATAGAGCAGCCAATGTGTACAATAACAGCAGCCACTGCCTTGAATAAAATCCCTCATTACTGAGCCGACGTAGGATGTATTGAGTACGTATGCGGGCATGTGGAGTAGCGAGATATGTCTGAAACTCTGCAAGATCTGTGGGAATAGCAAGTGATGGCTGGAGGTGATGAAACCAATCATCATGTGTCTCCATCCTAGGATTGAATCAGACATGAAATCAAAATCCAGTGGAAAGAATTTGCCGCTCACCATACTAAAACGTTACGCGCAGCTTGTAACTGAGATGTAGGAATCTCAAGGTTCACATCGACAACCTCATCAGCAGTGCCGAATGATTCTGGAAGATAACGGTTGCCAAGGAGGATAACCTTCTGAACATCATGAAGTATGACACATGATTTTTCAAACTCCTCCAAAGACGGGACCATTGTCGAGAATTGAGAATTGATCATTTTTAGATCTCTGATCCTATTATGCCATGGATCTCCTTCCATCAGATGCTCCGTGAATATACGCGTTGTCTCCAGCAGTGGGAGAGTAAAGTCTAAGCGACTGATGTGACATTGGAGTATCGACATCTGGACGTTAAGAAGGTTCAATATGTTCTTGTACGACTCAGACTCTGACAATAACAGACGGAGAATCCGAAACAGCGTTGCGTAGGTCCTTCGGTCTAAGTTGCCGTTCTGTATTGCTTTAAGCCAGAGCGTCAAATCTTGCGGTGTCTCCTGTATATTCTCCAAAGCGCGGGGAAGATAGAATGGACATAGGGCTGCCAGTTCGCACAGTGGCAAGACGTCGTACCTTCGCGTGGAGTAATCAACGATGTGTTGCAGCAGATATTGTCGCGCCCCAGAAGCTGAGGACAACACGAATTGTTCATACTGTTCGACGCTCAGCGATGGGAGGATGGTAGCTCGATCACCGTCACATTTTCGACACCTGTACTAGTCTTAAAAAGAGCCATCAAAAAGGGGAAGATAACGTACTCAATGTATACATTGTATCCTGCGATGATTCCCTCCATCGTGATCCGGACGGCTGATGTATGATACTTCCTGGTTTACACCACGCTGTATTGTCGTACTTCCCGGAGAAGAAATACTCCCGCAGAGGGGGGAAGGGGGCTTCATTAAATGGCCAACAGTCTCAACTGCACCTGCAGGAATCTATTCAGCCTTTTCCGGTAATGATAACTCTCAGCTTGCGTGATGCAAGGCCCACTTGGTTTTACCACAGTGCATGACTAGTATTCGCTCGGGCGCAGTGTAAACAAGCAATTGCTATTTTGACAAATCTAGTGTTGTAGTATCCTAGCTTGAAGCCATTTACAAGATCCAAGATTAGACACACTGTGTCGCGTTGCAACGGGAAAGAAAAACAATAAAATATAATAGGGAAAGTAGAGTGATGGCTAGAAGGCAATGAAAGTATTAATTTTATTTACATATCGCACCAATTTCCGTCGAATTTTTCGATTCGTATAACTCCTTTGATTTTAGTTGCCAGTCTGTTGCACTGAACCCTTTGTCGACTTGCTCTGCAATAATCTGTCATCAATCGGAGTCATAGCTACGAAGTGCCTTTTCCAGTTCTTCAAAGCAACCAGTCGCCTGTCTTCGTCTTCGCTGAAATCCCCCTCCCCCCCCCCCCCCTTTTCGTTGACAGACGAGGCAAGATGAATCGCTTAGAGCCGTAGTAGGGCTTCCCACCGGTATGAGTCCTTGAGTGTCTTGTTAGAGCACTGCGCTGGGTGAAGCGCTTATTGCAGCCAGGCACCGTGCAATGGTATGGGCGCTCGTTCATATGGATACGGTAGCGTCGTTGCAAGTTGTACTTGCGTTCAAAAGACTGATCAATGTTAGTGAAATTAACCTCTTCATGAAAGATAGGGGCCGTATCTACCTTCCCGCACTGCTCCCACGGACATTCATGGAAAGTTGTCGCAGACTTGGGTGAAGGAAGAAGAACTGAGAGGCGCTTATTATGTGAAGTGATGCTTTCGTCGCTCGCACTCGGATATAAAGGATGGTTTGCATGTATAGACTCCAGCCTAGAATCAACGGTACTCTGCGGATCCGTGCCAATAGCTGGTGATCCTGAGAAGTAATATCCTTTCATCACCTTCGGTGCGAATTCTTGTATTGGTTTTTGCGCAGACACCCAATATCTGAAACTTAGCTGGTATCATGAAATCCGGTCGTTCAAGACTTACAGTGTCATATAGTCATCTTCCTGTAGCTGGCCCGCAGCAAGGGCAGCCTTCACAATTACCTCATCAGGAGCGCCAGCTAACAGTCTGTCTGCAAAAGCCTTGAATCTACGTCTTTCAAGGCCCCCGTGATCGCCAAAAAAAATCTTCCTCGTCGTCAGACGCGCTATCGCAAAGCCAGTTTTTTCCAGATGACTTGAAAGCCTTGGCGCCACATCAAGCGGCATACCCCGATTTTGGGACTCTGTTAGAAGTTCCGCGATGAAGCCAGTGAGATAGGCGTCCTTCCGTTCCTCTTCATATTTTCCGTATTCGATTGTAAGACTTTGCTCCAGGCATTCGACATAGCCTCCCGGTTTGAGAATACGGAATATATCCCTGAACAGTGCATCCCAGTCTCGAACGCAGCTGACAATACGATCAGCTTGCCAACTTGAATTTAGATAGAATTGCAGGGCTCACCCATCCAAATGGCCAATGTGGATCAAATCAAAGCGACGCTCGAAAATCAAATCGGTGTGATGATCACCCAGGTAGAATGTCAGATTTGGTGGCAGCAAGGGCGGAAGGAGGTCGTCGTTGATTTCGAGTCCGATGACGCGTGCTGATGGATACTTCCTATAGACATATGAGTGGAAAATTTCAAGAAATGCTCCTCAACTTACTCCGCAATTGCTATCGCCCATTCTCCGGTTCCGCAGCCTATGTCCAAGATATTGTGAGGACTGTCGAGATTGCATAGGTGAAGTGCGCTTTGTGATTCTCCCAGGTGAAGTGCGCTTTTTAGTTCTTTCTGATCTCTAGACGTTTGATTTAGCAACTTCGTGGGAGGACCGTACAGGGTTGTTCACCTCTCCCATGTCTAATCATTAGCGAACGAAATTATCTCGAGACGGAGGATCACCTACATCATCAAAACGGTCACGGTCTTGCTCTGTCAGCTTATGTGATGAGCTATTTTGATTAGCAGGCATATTGTGTATATATGCAGTATTTACATACAAATACTAAGATCTCATTAGCTAAATCATATAGGCCCTTTCTTCAGCGCTCATACCTCGGCATTGTCCCGTATCTCAGCCGCAATTTCAGTCAAGTTCGAACCATCCGAGTGGTATCCATCTTCGTCGTCGACAAATAACAGATCTGAGTGCGACATGGCGGTCAACAACCCTGAGTAGAGGATGATTCTGTTGTACGAGGCTGCGAGGCTTCATGCTGGATCATTTATATCCGCCAATGTATAATACGCACTGTGGAGAATGCTCGCCTGCATGCCTCTCGCCAATCACTGGGATTAGCTCTCACACAATGTATCACAAAATACGAAGGTTGATTCGGATGCGAATCCAGGCTGTTCTAGGTCTATTTTTCAAAGCTTATAATCTCTACCCAAGCCAATAGGATCTGCCAGGAGATCTTCTAGTCGGTGTGAGTCTCCGTTTTTGGAACATGCCCCGGACTTCCAGCAACATCCCATGACTGCGGTGGCACGCCACTCAATAGTCGTTGCTTAGCGGTTTATCAAGGTGGAGTTGCCTATCTTCCATAGTCACGTCATGGGCTATTTTATACCATTGCCAAAGGCATGTTGACGCGCTACGTTGCAGCAAAGGCAATATTGGACCTAGACTAGGCACCAGACGAGACATTCAATGAAACGCCACCTGTACTATTTAGGTAAGCCTGATTGACAGGCGAGGCGCAGCTGTTCTACATCCGTTTTCCAAGTGACACAGCTCTCGTCTTCCCGAATCGGTTCTGCCAGAAAACTCTATACTGGCACGAAGTTCCTCTTCTGGAAAATGCTGCGGACTCGAGCAGCAAGTCGTGGGTTTGATGGCGCGCTATTTCTATAGTATCGTTAAGTATCTGTTCGTGTGGGTGATCATTTTTTTTAAAGCACCCTCAACCAGATCCATACCGAAAGAAGTAAGGGAACACGTTCACTATTCGAAGCCGGCCTCCGTTTACAAGTTCCCCGACCGTTCACAGGACAGCATTTACCACCAGAAAGCGTCTGGTTCTATTGAGAGGCATAGGCTCAGTATCTCCGAGACATTCTCGTTGAATCGCCAGTAGTTTTAGCGAGCATTCCGAGTTGGTCCAATGATGGCAGGTTCCCACACTGAGATAATCGGCAATGTGGATAATGCCAAGCATCTAATGCTGGAAATTCTCCAACGAGTAACGTTAAAATGCCAAGCATCTAATGCTGGAAAAGGGGATCAGTGCGCACTAGCGAAGCTCCACTGAGTAACGTCAAATGCCAAGCGTCTGCCTGCTAGGAAAAGTTGCGTTATGACAGGATTACTTTACAGCTATCCCGGATCTGGTGGTTGCAGCGCATAAGCCACTCTCCGGATCTCATTGGATAGCGATTAGGGATTTGCCAAGAATCCCCTTTACTAAATTAGCGCGCACAATGTATGGCACACCTGTGCCTTATTTTCTCTACTCTAGACACACATGAATACATTACATTACACCGTCCCACTCGATTTCTCAAGTTAGCATACGTGAACCGATTCGTACATCATGAGCACCGTGTCAGAAAGCCTCTCAATCCTAGCGCAAGTGGATATAGCGCTGGCTTGGAAATCACAAGCCGCTATTTCTCTGCTGGTCCATCGCGTCCGAGGTCTCGATGCGCAATTACTGCCGCAAGTATGGTTTCCAATCTCGCCAATCAACGTAACTGGAGCGGTCCTGGACGACTGTCTGCGGACATTGTACACGGCATCTGACGAAGAGCTCATGCCTTTTCGAGCCACGATGGAGTATTCGATCTTCACGCGATTTCGAGTTCTACCCTACGTGCATTCGTTGCTTCCCAATGAAGATCTACCATGTCACACGTACTTGACTAACGTGGCCGAAAATTTGGCGTATCGCTTGTACTTTTACAGCTCTATATGGACTCGGTCTCTAGTCCAGTTGTCTCGGGCCCAGAATAATGGAGCACCACTTTTGGGGTCCAGAAATTTGTCCCCAGAGGATTGCTTCCGTTTGGTGATTATAAGTCGACGCCACGCCTTGAGATACGTGCAGCTCTTTCCCGATGCCCCCTTGATACCAGAGAGCAGTGATCGACGTCACACACATGTCAACGCGTATGTCGAAAGTTGTGGTCGCGTCAAAAGTAGGAGTCAGATCATGGACTTTTTAAACATCGGTAGGAAACTACTAGCTATTGAAAGAGGTCTAGACTGTCCCGGTATTTCCCTCATTATGTTTCTGGACGTTCGCGAACTGTTGGATATGAGAGCCCGAGATATCTACCAAATGATTCAACTTCTCGGATTGTTCGGGCGATTCCCAGAAGTCACGAAGGCTGCGTGCGGGCTCAGCTCCGATTTACATATTTATCAAAAGGACTACGATCTGAAGATATAAAACAAGCTATTGAACTCAATAACGCATGAAAGGCGCCACATCACCCTCGTCAACACGACCCGGAAAATCTTCGCCCTCATCCGGTTTGTCAGCGGGGCCATTAGCATACACCACAACCGCGAGAAGGAGTCCATCCGATTCAGACAAATCCGCCCACTGCATCCACAATGTCGTCCTTGCTTCAAGCGCTTGAATGCGTCTCACGTTCACTGGAGTAGATTTGGGATCACTCTTGTCGAATTCCGACTTAGTCACACGGTGAGACCCGGCAATGGGTTTAAAAGTGACATTCTGCGCGATTGGTCGGATCAATACCATGCTATCATGCATATGATAATTTGGAGGTCCAAGCATGTAATTCGTTGATGCATCTCTTTTCGCTTCGGTCTTCCGGCATCCTACCACCCGAACAAGATCCTTCATTATACGTGGCTTTAGGCCGTCCAGGTTTAGATGGAGATGAAAGGGCTGTCGAATTATTAGTGATTCATACGTATGCTGCACTCGAAACAACCTTACATTGATTCCAGCTTGCACGTAATTTGGTATTTCTTTCCAGAGTTCTGTGTCCCAATGTGGTTGGATGTAATAGAGAGGGCTGTCCTCGGGCCCTTCACGAGGTAATTTCGCACTCTCCGTCAAAATAAACTCGCGAAGCTCTTCCGAAGGCTCCTCGCTCGCATGTAGAATTGCATAACCTTGAGAGTCCATCGCTTCCCATTGCCATTCGTCATCACGGCGGACCTGTTGTGCCTCCATGCTGGGCGGGGTAGGTGGTGGGTCTTTCACTTTGCGGCAATACGGGGTGACCAATCGGATGAGGCTAATGCCCGACTACCAACTACCAGAGTAGAGTCTTCCTTTCCAGTAGATATAACCACCCGGAAAAAGGTTGTCGAGTTGTTGGCGTGAGACAAGTAAGCAAAGAGCGGAAAGCGAACCCATACTTATATCAAGTACATTGAGTGTAGTCCTTTGTATTTGGGTTCGATATACAACAGAGAGCTTTGCATTCGCTGCTGGGATCTTGGTCTGAATTTTCAAAGTTGGTCTATGATGACACGAATATTCTAGATTTTGGAGGGATCTAGCAGTAGTACATGAGAAATCGTATTCCACAGACAACAAGCAGGATGTACCAGCAGAGAATCGGCAGAGCAACCCGGACGGGCCTAGATTTGCATCGGGTCGTTTCCTTCCGGGACCCTATCGCTTTCTCGACATCAACATCAGAGGCGTGCATATGGACAGGTCGTCCTTGAGTCAATGCGTCGACTATCGTGCAGATGCATGAGAGAATCTTTCGCTTTCGGTAGTATGCGGCGTTCACTGTGATAGTCATCAGCAGAGATGGATTGGATGATTGATGTTTACATACACGTTTTGCATCGGACAGAGTAGCGTGGGCCTTTGAGCTTTCCATTGCGGGTGGACACTTCGAATTCGGTCTTGACTTGAATAGAGTGCATGGTCGTAGCAGAAGAATTCTTTGGACCACTGGATTTGAATTTGGGCTGCATCAAACACAATATATGCATGGCGTACACATTTCTTTTATATGTCGGTCAGGTATACGCAGTGACGACGATTCGGACGTTTATCCCAGAGTGTCAATTAATAGTCTGATTCCAACTACTTTAGCCTAGTGAGAGATATTGAATCGGTCATTAGTAGCTTGATTCGAGGCACAGCCATCGGCTAAACGAAGACATAGGAAAGAAAATCTAAGATCCCGTTCTCCAACGCCATTCTCTTTCGTCAAGCGTAGCTCTAGCGTTCCCCAAAAGCACGTAATAGTCTCTCTCATCCACTGTATCATTCCGGTAGGCTGATATAGAACAATATTCCAGAATCAAGCTTTTCCCTAATTCGCGATGGTCTGGATTGCTTAACATAATCTCAAAGATATCCAGGAATATCCGGCGAACCAGGATCATCATTGTCTATATTGGAGTTACTAGTAGCCCTTGCAGTCCTTATAGAGTACCTACTTGTATCTGGGAATCCGTCTCTGTCGTCATTTATAGTCACATCGGCGTGTCAGACAAAATGCGAGGGGAATCTGTTGCGTTGATGGATGCAAACAACAGCTGCTTGAATAGCAGTCATAGATGTTTGTTATATCACTAAATAATCTTTGGATGATGCCAGCAATGATTAAATTAGGTGTGGGACCGGAAAAAAATTGCATAATCATGATTTGGAGTCCAAGATACAACTAGCGCACAAACCAACACTGTCCACGCAGTTGCGGTAATTATAATAATGTCTGTTCCGAGATCGTGCGAGTAGCCCATCAAGTATATTCTCTGTTCCAATTCTTCGATCATATTAGGTACACGAACACTAGCATGCAAGTTCTCAACGCGTAACCGGTCGACCTACCCCCACCCCCCCCCCCTATTCCAGTAGACTTTGCTTCATCATTTCCATCACACCATTCGTCTCGACTATCAGATACTCTTGAAAGATGAGTACCTTCAGATCGATTTCTTCGGTGTATAGGTAGAAAAGCGATAAGGCCTCACGTAACTCCATCAACCAGACAGCCTTTGATTCCAATTCTGGTGCACGTAAAGCTTCCATGTATTCGAGAGACGGGTAGTTTGTGTCGTTTATATCGAAGAGCTTGCAAGTTCCTGCTTCCTTGAGCCTCGTTAGGGTCTCTTCGTCGAGATCGAAAAGGCAACACCAGCCACATCCTAGTGGCGCTACTGGGTGACAATCGAATTCATGTTCTTGTAGCCAGGATGTGACACGTGTGACATTTTCAGAAACCCAGGTCTTAGGGTTTGTTTGCCGCAGCTTCGCATCGGCAATACAATCATCTTTGGTGTAGGGGGGAATCCTCAGAAACTGTGTATGTTTTAGCCCTGCACGCATAGGAGAGTGAAAGAAACTGACATATGCTTTTGGTGTATCCATTGTGACTTTCGCTTGAAACCGGAATAGAGTAGTGATCAATAGACGGATGTTCACAAGAATAGATGGGAATCCAACTTATATATTATCTCTCTACACTCCAATCACAGACAGGGTGCGGGTGATACAAAGATGGTGGAATTGTTGTTGAGTCTCTCTCTTGCAGTCGACCTATCAGAATGACATCGGGAGAGATGTGGCTTGCATTTTGAATAAATGAAATTAGATCATCCAGTTCGCGGTCACTCAATAGACCGTCTTGACAGGGGTCGAGAGTATCTGGTGTCGGCGGAGGCGTAGGCGGGGTTGAGCGGACTCTGATCGTCTCTTCGAAAGTCGGTATACTCTGCGATTCAGGTTTGGCTCGCGTAAGACCTGCTGTATAGATTGCCACTGGATTCACCACTTTTGTCTCTCTTACGGTCTCGATAGTTGGCCGATTTGAGTGGACTCTCGTATTGGGCATTGATGACAAGTTGCTATCAGCTCTAGACAGAGCCGCCAACGCTTCGGTTTTAAAAATCAGGGAAAGGATTCTTTTCCATATCTGTTTCCACCAGGTCAGCTTCGTTTCTTCAGGTCCGGTACACTGCTTCTCTAAATCTAGATCCTCAGGCGGCAGTTTTTCTGAAGCATTGTGGCGAAATAATTGATCTAGCGAGGCCGGACGTTCCACACTCATGTTCGCAATATGCAGGGAGAAGAGATTCAGTTCCAGGCCGTTGTGTCTGTTAAGTTGCGGTGACAGTAGGACAAGATGCAAACAAGGCTGGCTTGTTATATGTACGTCGAATGGATTTGGTCTATAACTGAAAGAAGCATATAATATATTTTTATGTATCATACTAAAGCATGCATCATAGCTGATAGTCGGGCGTTTGCTCTAGGCGCCGACTATAGTCTTAATCATAACCAATAGGATACACTGCCGGCGAAGTACCAATCTTTTGATCCCCTTTTCACTCTGATCGCTTCGGAATGTATTCCTATACCGGCTACAGAAAATATCAGGACCCATCTTTCTCCACCACCTATGCGGATTAATCTCAGAGCATCGACCAAGCTCTGAATTCTCAGGCAAGAGTACGAAGATCTTGCGACACAGCTCGAATTCAAGGCTTTACGGCTAGTAACCCACTGGTATGTCACGATACTGATGCGTAGCACTTGGCTCAATTAACGAGTGAAGGAGATTGTACTCATGCTGATCTAGTTGAAAAGGACCGTGCGTCTTATCGCACGGATATAGTAGCGCGCGCTCGATCAGGATAAGATGAGTGATGTTCTGAGGCTATACTAGCCAAGGGTATGATTTGCTACAGCGATAACATGACACCGCCATTGTCTAACAAGCAAGATTCTAGCTCATGGTGTACCTCTCCGTATTTTTGCAACTGACGTGCGATGTAGCTACACCTGTGGTACACATTGATTGGTTTAGGAAGAAGACCTGTTACCAATAGCCTGAACCAGAACCTTGTCAGATGTCCTTCCTTTATCATTTATGCAACTAAGCGCCTAGTCGCTTTATCTCGTCGACAACGCGCCCCGATTTCCGTATCGTTTGTACTAGACAATTGTTAGCATCGGACAAATGTGACTGCATTGCAATTAATCTTACCGAAGGAGCGCTCGGACAACAGGATGATACTCATGCAGGCTCGTAATCTAGTCACAAGACGCTAACCAGAAGGGTCTGAAAACTGTCATTGATGACGGTTTTCA